ATGTGTGTGAATGGCTGGCTGCGGGGAGGCTCAGCTGGATGGATGGATGGATGGCCGGCTGCATACTGGTCTCTTCCTTCCTTTGTAGCTTAGTGCCTGTGGGTGCGGGATGGGTGGGGGGATGGGATGGGATGGGCACCTGTAGAGCCACATGGGCAACACATACACGGGGGCACCATCACACACACACTGCCTCGCCACATCACCCGCCACTCCTTGTTGTTGTGAAGGCAACGCAGCGCAGCGCATTTTCTGTCTGTGTGACCAACCACTACATGGCCTGGCCAAGAGGATGGTTTTGCATACCTACCGACACACATCTATCTATCTAATTTGCATACGAATGAACGGACCGGTGCTTGCCTGTCTTCCTCCCTCTCCCTGTCTGTCTGTCTGCCAGATCCTCTCTGCCTGTCTGTCTTGACGAGTGTACAGCTACCCAGCAGCCTCGTACCTACCATCCTGTTCTCGAGTGACCCCCACACACCCCCACCGCACTGCCCACTGAGCTACAGGATGGGATGACTGACTCAAGACTGACTGACTGACTGACTGGCAGTGGATGGGATGATGTACTGTCGATTGACTGACTGATTGTGGTTATGAACGACACACCAGCAGACACACAAGGCCACTGCATCCATCCATCTATCTGTCTGTTACGTCTATGGTGTTTTTCCCACATCGCTATGCTCTCCCTCCCTCCCTCCCTCCCTCCCTCTCTCCCTTGTTGCCTATGTCATTGCCAGTGCCGGCCCGGCCAGAGAAAGATATGATAGGATGGCAGCCAGGCAGCTGAGACGACGGGAGGAGAGATGGAGGCCGGGGGGGAAGGGTGGTCTGGGAGCCGCACAGACAAACACAGACAGACAAACCGTTTGTTTGCATTTGCTTTTGGGATGGGTGACATCTGTCTGTCTGTCTGTCTGCCTCCGTGAGGTTTTTCCATCCAATGCCTAACGCATCCGTTACATCCATCTGTTCATCATTCATCAGTGGATCACACGCGCGCCGGGCGAACGACTTGATCTAGCCTAGCAACCCCCACCCCATGGTGGGGCATATGATAGACAGGCAGGCAGGCAGCGCACAGTGGCTCGTGGCTCCAGAGAGAGCCGCAGAAGAGAGGCTGCCTGCTGGCACAGCTGCCTTCCTGCCCCCGCCCACCCACCGACCCCACCCAGCGCACTCTCTCTCTCTCTCTCTCTCCCTCTCTCTCTGTCGTGCTGCCGTATCATGGTGTGGTGTGGTGTGGTGCGCATGTCTGTGTGCCTGCGCTGTGGAGGCTGTGTGGAGGGTTTAATCTTCCCGAGTCGGCATGGCATGGCATGACTTGGCGTACACGGCATGGCGTGGCGTGGCGTGCGTGCTGCCCGGACAAATGTGACCACTAATTCAGTGAATTAACCAATTATGGGAAAAAAAGTGAATTAACCAATTATGGGAAAAAAAGTGAATTAACCAATCCCGATACACCTCACGAACCCCCTTCACCCCCGTAAATTTCTTCGAAGATCCGAGAAAGTGCGTTCCATTCTGCGCCAAGTCGTTACGGTGTTGTGACGGACGGCTGCGTGTCGTTTGTGGAGGAAATGGATGGGGGTTCTTCATACTTTGCGCCAGGCGGACCGGGCGATGGCGCCGTGGCAACGGAGGACGGCGGCGGCCACACACACAGCAGCCAGACGATGCAGGTCATGAACATCATCGTATGGGTCATCCGAATCGCCGTGCCGCTGGTAAGCAAAGCAATACTCAGCTCATCCACTCGCTCATCCATGTGGGTGGAAGATGCGCACACACTCATGGATAGGATGCAGAGATGGATGGAGAGATCTGTCCAGGCTTCTTCGCTGGTATGGTGTGGTGTGTTGTCTTGTCGGCGTTTGTTCGTCTGGCTGCAGATATGCGCGTTGGTGTGGTTTGTGGTGTCGGGCCGGCCGCGGCAGCAGCGACAATCTGACAGAGCCTCGCAACGCGCCAGTGGCAAAGAGAAGAAGACCAAGAAAGATAACAACCACGCCAGCCGCCGAGAAGACCCTCACCGTGACCACCACCCCAGACAGCACCATCAGCAGCATCAGCAGCAGCAACAGCATCATACCGCCGACCCGGCCTTCATCTCACCCCGTGGCGGCACGCCCACCCTCCCTCTTGCCGCTGCCCAAATGCCGCCCCGCCGGCCCCCCACACATACGACGCATTCGGTGGCGCGTCCTCCGATGGGGGCTGGGAGGGGGATGCCGTTGCCTCCCAGTCGGCCGCCGACGGCGTACGGGCTGCTGCCGCCCTCACGGACGGCCGTGATGGGGCGGGAGAGGGAGAGGGAATGCCGCTACTCTGTGCACACCATGCTGCGGGTGCGGAGGAGCATGGTAAGTAGGTGGGTGAATGGGTGATCCCCTCCTTGTATGCTATGTGTGTGCGCCGCGCGTTTATAGCTGGGTGAATTGTCTGGCGAGCGGCCGCCTGGCGCCGACGGCATCAAGCTCGTCTTTGATCCGGCCCGGGCAGGGATGCGAAGACTCGCCGAGCAACAGAGAGGGTGGGGTACACAACACACGCAACGCAATCCATCCACAAACAAACAAACAGGGGGAGGGGAGAATCTTGTCTTGTGCGCGTTGGGTATCCCTCTCTCTCTCTCTCTCTGTGTGTGTGTGTGTGTGTATGCCCATGTCAGTTATGAGGGTCGGCATCCCTTCTCGCCCTCGGCCCCCAATGCGGCAGGTCCAGGCTCTCCCGCCACCCGTGGCGCCAGGCCCTCTCGCCGCAACGACCGATCCGCCAAACAGACCACCAAACAGAACACCAAACCAGCCATGGAGGTAAGGTACCCATAACCACAAACGCATGGAACTTGTGAATCAATCTGTGAATCTGTGGGTGGTGTGTGGTGTGTCTGTGCAATTAATTCAGCAGCAAGGTTGGCTGCCGGTGATGCAGGCGCACCAGTTCGGGATGCCCTCGGCGGCCCCGCCGTCGGTGATATCCCCGGTTCCGTGCCCCGCACACCCGCCGCCCCCTCCTCCCCCACCCCCGCCAGCACCGGCACCGGCACCGGCACCTCCAGTCGACACTCAATCACCCACACAAGCAACGGCAGCGCCTGCACCACTGGCGCCATTGCCGTTGCCCGTGGTGCATACGCAGCCCCCTCTCGTGGCTGCTGATAGCACATCGGTGCTCACACACGCGACGCCCTTGGATGGTGGCCATGATGAGGGTGTTGGGATCGGTGGCGTTGCTGGGGTGGATGCGATTATGGAGAGGATGGGCGGTTTGGACGTCAGGGGGCCGCTGGAGGCGGCCGCGGCAAGTCTTGCGCCTGCTGCTGGTGTTTCTAAGGGGCGTCATCTGCATATTGAGGGGGAGGACAGCGTAGAGGCGATGTTGGAGTCACGGACGGCACCGTCTGTCGGGTCGCCACAGCCACAAGTCATTCCATCAGAGGTACGCAACACAACACAGCACAGCACAGCACACAGAGACCCTTTCTCTCTCTCATACGTTTCTTTCTTCTCTTGTCCTCCTCATGTATGTCAGTTTCTGGGTGCCCTGCCGGCACTGCCCACCCAGCCCCCGCCGCCCATCCCTCTGGCAGGGTCCCCTTCCCGGTCCACCCTACGCAAAGTACACAACGTCGGCAAACCCGTCACACAACTGCCGCCCCCACCGCCACAGCAGCAGCAGCAGCAGCAGCACGGAGTCGCCGACGCCATACCTCCCCCACCCCCACCCCCACCACCTACTGCAGCAGCCACAGCCACGGCCACGGTCGATACTGGTGCTGGTGTTGGGGTGGAAAGCGCAGAGGTTCCGGTAGCAGAGGAGGGCGGGAGTTTGATGGAGCGTGTGCTGATGGCTCTGGTGCGAGAGGCCGTGCACCGCATACACAACAAGGAGGAGAAGAAGCAGCCGCGTGTGACGGGTGACAGCACCACCCTCGCCACGCAGAGAGAGGAGGGAGCGGTAGCGGCAGACGGTGGTGTCAGGGGTGCGGGTGTGTCGGGTCGTGCTGATGCGGGCACGCCCCCGTTATCGGGTGCGAATCTGGACCACCATCGGCGGTTCATCGACGGCAACAAGGAGGCCGTCAAAATACTCAAGGAGTGAGTACCCGACAACACAATATGCAGTGCAGACAGAGAGAAGTCCTAAGATGCTTTGCTTGGATGACCATGGGCATGTGTGTCCTTGTGAATGCTCTCAGGGCGGCGCGTCATCAGCAGTTGGATGTGGCGGTGCAGGTGATGGACGACCTCAATGCCTCCAACATCCCCATCGCGCCACAGACATACAACCTCTTACTCACTACCGCCGTCAAGTCAGCCACACACACACACACATACACGAGGCAAAGGAATCGTCTGTTGTGTCTATGGGGTGCCCCGCGGTGCGCGTGTGCAGTTGTGGCGACGAAGGACTGTCTCGTGCGTACGTTCGTGAGATGGAGGAGGCGGGATACACACCCGACGCTGCACTCAAAGCCAAAGTCAGCGCGCCGCCCCCAAGACACAGTGCGCCGGGCCCTCTCTGTGTGTCCTACTAATTCTGTTCCTTCCTCAGGTTGATGCGCTGTCTCGCCCGCCCCCATCGAGTAGCTACCAGCCCCCTCCAGCACCCGCAGCAGCAGCAGGGAGAGGGATCTTTCCCCACCCCCACCCTCCTGCCCCTGCCGGCCCCCCGGCGATGCAGCCATACATGTACCCGCCGCCCCCGACACACCCCCCACCCATCGACTGGCGACCCGGCTCACCAGACTCGCCCTCGTCGGCGTACGGCTACCCCTCCCACCATGGCCACCATGAAGCGCATCAGCAGCAGCAGCAGCACCTGCAGCAGTTGCAGGACCAGCAGTATCAGCAGTATCAGCACATGAGCCACAATCAGCTGCTGCAGCACCTGAACCAGCTCGACGAGAATGGCCGCGAGATGCTCCAGTACCTCATCTCACAGGAAATGGCCAAAAGCGGAGGGGCAGGGCGGGGTGACGGCAGCCACGGCCACAACCATCGGGACCTCAGAGCGGTCTCTTCGAGCGCGTCGCAGCCCGGCTGGCCGCACACTCACACCCACACGCATGCTCCTCCCTGGGGGCGCAACCACAGCGAGACCCACACCGCCCACATCCATCCCAGCACCCAGCCGCACCATCACGACCCCTTCGCAGCCCTGCACTCCCACCCCTCCTCTCGCCCATCGCCCAGCCAGTCGGCCAGCGGCTCGTCGATTCCCTCGCGAACACACCCTGCCCCCATGACGGTGCCACTCGTGACTGCACCCCCGCCGCGACCGCCCGGCGCGCAGCTGCCCCCATCATTGGCAGCGTTGTTCCCCCCACAAGCACAGCAGCAGCAGGCCCAGGGGCAGGAGAGCGGTGTGGCGGCCAGAAGCGAAAACCATCATGGTGGTGACGATGGGATCAGTTTTGTGCTTGAGCGGTTGCGTGAGACTTCTGGACTTGCCCAGGGTGCGGGCAATGGTGGGGGCCGTGGGCAGGAGCAGCAGGTGGGGGTGGGGGAAGAGGGCGGGGGGAGGAATGGGCACACTGACAGGGACAACGGAATGGTAAGTGTGCACGGGAAGAGGCCTCACAGCTCTCTTGACATATACATGACATTGTCATGTTCATTGTCATGTGGGTGCAGCATTCTTCTCGCGCGACCATCCCGCCCATCCCCTTCTCCCACACCACGCCGACAATCGTCTCCCCGCCCAGCCTCTTCGACACACTAAAGAACGCCCCACACCCCATCGCACAGCCACATCAGCAACATCAGCAACATCAGCAACATCAGCAACATCAGCAACAGCAACAACACGACAGCACAACAGCCGACAGCACACAGGCGTCATCCACGGGAGCCAGACTCAAGGGCGTTGAAGCGGGCAAAGAGCTGCTGTCCATTCTGCAGGGGCGCTCATCCCCCATAGAGAGAGAGGAGAGGCGCGGTGGTGGTGGTGGTGGGGATGACAGGGGGAGAGGAAGATCGTCGCGCGAGAGGCCCGGTGCGGTGTTTAGGTCGGCCATGAAGGTCGTCATCAACGCGAACTCGCCTTCGAGCTCGCCCGCCTCGCGTCACGCCATCCCCAGCACCAGCAGCACCAGCAGCAGAGACACCCCAGGCCCATCCCCTGCCTCTGCACCTGCACCTGCACCTGCCCCAGCAGCTGCTCCATTCCCGGCCAACACACGCCACACAACAACAGAGAGACACAGCCAGCCCACCACTTCCCAACTCCGGCACCAGCACGAGAACGGCTCCAAGCAGCAGCAGCAGCAGCAGCAGCAATTGTCGCCAGGCAGTGAGGCCCAGGGTCAAGGCGGCAACCACAAGACGGTGTGGAAGCGCAAGGCGGCGGCTAAGGACAATCTCATCGGAGGGGGGCGGCAGAACCAGAGCACACGAGGTGGCGGGGGAGGGGGCAAAGGGTGGAAGCGCGCCATGTATGACGAGGCGGGCTCGGAAGGTCAACAACAGCAGCACCAGCAGCAGGGTGGTGGTGGAGAGGGCCAGGGCCAGAATCGCAGACACATCAAGGGGCCCGGTAGACACCGTAGGAATAGCAGCGACAGGGGAGGGGGAGGAGGAGGGGGCGGCTCATGGGGCGGAGGAATGCCGCCACCCGCACCGGGTGGCAGAGGGGGCAGCCAGGTGAACAAACACCACACCACCCCACATGCACCACATACACACGAACAAAGAGGCACCGATCCATCCATCCATCCATCCACCCCCGCGTCTCTCTGTGCATATGTGTGTATGCAGCGTTATGTGCCCAAGGCGCCTGGCCCCACCCCCTCCCACGGCCACAGTGCCAGCATGGCCAGCAGCAGCACCGAGCCCACCGAGGAGCAAGCAGCAGACGAGCAGCGTGGCGAGGTCCGCAGGTGGGTGATGCCTGCACCCGCACCTGTCGCGGGCGGTGGTGGTGGGGCCGGCGGTGGTGCCACCGATGACAACGAGGAGGATGAGTGGTGAATGAGTTGTTGGCTGAGTGAGTGAGTGAGTGATGTGCCTAGGAGCGGGTTTTGAAGCATAGGTCCGGCTGGCGTGTGTTCGTCTGCAGACAGACAGACTGACAGACATAGACATACTGACTGACAGAGGGAATGAGTGTGTGGGAAGGATAGGCCCTCGTGACGGGCTGAGCGGGCGTGGGGGGATGGCGTGATTCGTGTGTCTAATGCCATGGATGCTTCTGTGGGGATGGGACAGATAGAATGGTCTGCCTGGCCATGTATCCCATTGACAAGTCTGTCTGGTCCGTCACGTGTGGCCGGCCGCGGGGGCACGTGTCGTTCGCAGCCTGGAGGTGGCCAGCCCTAGCGAGCAGTCTTTTGCTGGTCTGCAGGCCTCAGCCCCGTCGTGACATGTATCCATCAATCAACACATGACTGACTGACACGGCCGAGAGCCGACAGAGTTAGGTAGGTAGCACGAGGGGGAGGGTTTGAACCCATGATGTGTGTGTGTGTGCGTTATACCAACACATTCTTACCCAAAAACACCCATACACACACATGTACAACAAACACAGAGGTCTGCCAAGTCAGTCAGTCAGCGTCGTCAAAAAACGAAACGTATCCATCCCGCCCCGCCGGTCGGTCCGCCCTGTCTGTTCCATCACCTCGCACGCACACTTAGGCAGCCTGTCTGTCTGTCTGTCTGTCGGCTCTCACGCACTCGAGCAGCACCGCGATGACAGCGTGGCTGGCTTGGCCGAGGCCGTGTTGGGGGTCGCATCCAAACGCAACGCACCTGACAATGACAGACACGACGACACACACCACACGACACACCAAGCACCGAACGAAATGATGCATGCATCGTCGCCGCCTCGCCCCACTGGCGCTCTCTCTTTCTCTCTCTGTCTGACCTGCCGCAGCTTGCTGCACTGGCTGTTCAGGCAACCGCCGTGCTGCAATGATCAATCAGGTCACAGACGGACCGTGAGCGAGTGTCTCCTTATTTCTTTGTCGACGGACCGAGCATGCTGAAGAGCTGCTGTATGTTCTGCCCCGTCTTGGCGGATGTCTCGATAAACAACAAGCCGTTGTCATCTGAGCCAATCAATAAGTACATTGGATAGATGGATGGATGGATGGATGGATGGCGTGCTTGTAGCCAGCCCACCGAGCTGAGCTCACCGACCAGCGTATTGCCTGGCCTGCTCAAGGGAAGTTGCCCTCTCAGGCAAATCCATCTTGTTGGCTGACGGACGGACGCGGCAACACACACACACACACACACACACAGAGAGAGAGAGAGAGAGAGAGAAAAACACACACAAACACACACACACACACGACACCGACCATGTCGATGTCATGGCAGTCAGTCCCACGCTTCTCTCTCTGTGTGGTGTGTGTTTGTGTGGACCCACCAGCCAGCGCAATCACGATGTTGGGGTTGCCCGACAGCTGCAGCTGCTTCACCCTGATACATCAAAACACAAACCACACATGCACCCCACACACATCCCATCCAGGTGTGGTGTGCAGTGCCTCCCTCCAAACACACACACAGCCACGTGTGTACCATGTCTGTGCGCGCTCGAAAGACTGTCTGTTGCTCTGGTCATAGACCACAATGGCCGCTGACGCGCCCCTGTAGTACATCGGAGCCAGACTCGAAAACCGCTCCTGACCTGATGGATTGATGCGTGAGATGAAAGAGAACGCCAACCAATAAGCCAGCGCATGCCATGGGTGTACCCTCTCTCTCACGATGCTTATTGACCCACTCACCAGCGGTGTCCCATATCTCGAACTTGACTGTCTTGCCGTCCACGTCAAGCGTCTGGGTGGCAAACGCCGCACCTGCACGAAAGGAATCAACAGAACAGATAGACGCACACAGACAGACAGACACTGGTACACTCAGTCAGTCAGTCACTCAATCAGAACGGTATGCAATGCTCTCTGCAAACAACCATGCATCCATCCCTCTGCTGCTGTGCGTGGCTCCGTGTGTGTGCTGATGTGGAATAGAATATGTGTGTGAATGCTCTCAATACCTACAGTCGCCTCCATGGCGTCCGAGAAGACGTTCTTGACGAACCGCATCACTATGCTCGACTTGCCAACTGACGCATCCCTGCAGACAGCAACGAGAACAGCTTGCCGCTGCTTCTGCTTCTTGCCTGGTGCTGTGACCTCATCATTCGCTCACCCGAGCAGCACGGTCTTGTGACTCCTCGGTTTGATTGGCGGCGGCGCCGGCGAATGACTCAAATCACTCGACATCCATCTACACACCGCTGCTCGCAGGGTTTTAGGGTTAGGGCAGGCGATCCAAACCCCACCAATCAGCTTTGGTGAACGTCGCTCTGAGGCAAGGTCCCTGTGAGGTTGACGAACGAACGAGGCACCGCTCAGGTACCCACATCTGCCCCACGACAACGAAAACCTGTCTGCATGTGCATGTGGCGTGTGTGAACGTGCTGTCTGCCTGTCTGGTAGATCTCCCAGGCAGCCGAGCAGCCCACACCATGACGACCCGCGGCGCAGCGTACGGCACCTTCAGGGACAATGAGAAGAAGGAGGTATACATACATCAGCCACTCAGCCACAGCCAGGCTGGCAGGCAGGCAATCATGCGCTCTTGTCGATGTCGTCCGTCGTCCTGTCCTCTCTCACTCATTGACGCAGGAGGAGAAGAAGGCGGCCTCAAGCGACATGAGGGAGACGCTCATCACATTGGGTCTGGTGGCTCTGTGGTACTTCCTCAACACCTGGTACAACATCCACAACAAGAAGGCCGTCAACATGCTCAACCTGCCATGGACCATCTCCACCATCCAGCTCTGGATCGGCTGGCTCTGGTTCTGGCCACTCTGGCTCACCGGCGGCCGCAAGATGCCCATCATCAACAACTGGCCCGCATTCTGGAAGAAAATCGCCCCACAGGGCGTCTTCCACTTGGGCGTCCACGCTGGCGCCGCCGTGTCAATGGGTAGGTCAGGTCGCTGACTGAACCAACAGGAAGGCGTCCCATGTGATGTGACTGAACTATGTGTGGTTGTGTGGTGTGGTGTCTGTCCAGCTGCTGGTGCGGTGTCGTTCACGCACATCGTCAAGGCGGGCGAGCCGGCCATAACGGCTTTGCTGGCGGGCGTGATGCTCAAGGAGGTCTTCCACCCGCTCACTTACCTGGCGCTCGTCCCCGTGGTGGGCGGCGTGGCCGTGGCGGCCATGAAGGAACTCTCCTTCACCTGGCTCTCGTTCACCGGCGCAATGGTCTCCAACCTGGGATCGTCACTCAGAAGTGAGAACGAACTCGTGTGGTGGGCGGGCAGGGGGCCCGGAGAAGAGCCCTTTGCTCTCTCTCTCTCTGTGTGCGTGTAGGCATTTTCGCGAAGAGGGTTCAGAAGGACACCAAGGAGATCGGTGAGAACCTTGACTCCGCGAACCTGTACTCGCTCCTGACGATCGTCTCGACGGTAAGCTCACACCGACACACACCACCATGGTTGAACCCCCCCCATATGTGTGTGTGTGTGTGTGTGTGTGTGTCTGTGTGTGTGTGTGTATCAGCTCCTGAGCACAGTGGTGGCGCTGATGATCGAGGGCAAGGAGATCAGCGGCGAGTGGGAAAAGGCGACGGCCATCGACAGCGGCAACACCTGGCAGAGCATTGCCTGGTACACGCTGCTGTCCGGCGTCTGGTACTACTCATACAACGAAGTCGCATTCATCACCCTCGGCAGGTCAGAATCTACCCCCTCCCCCCCCACACACGGTCGTCACATCAAGGCGTGTGTTGGGTGGATGTGTGTGTGTTTAGACTGAATGCGGTGACTCATGCTGTGGCCAACACTCTGAAGCGTGTGGTGATCATCTTGGCGTCGGTGATAGTCTTCCGCAACCCCATCTCGCTCGTGGGCGGCATCGGCTCGGCCATCGCTGTCGGCGGCACACTCCTCTACTCACTCGCCAAACAGAAATACCACTAAACAACCGACCCGACCACACAGACAGCCACCAGCGTACACACAGGGCCGTGTGTGTTGTGCCGACTGTGTGCCGTGCCTTTTGTTCCTTTTGCCGACTGTTTGATGTGATGCCCATTCTCGGATGCACGCGTGGAGTGAGAGGGGGGGAGTAGCTCGCTTGGCTGGCCGACTGACTGACTGACTATTGTGCGCTTGGCCGGGCCCTGGGCTGGGATTGGATGGATTTGCGTGTGTGTGGGGCGAGACCTGCTTTGGCGCCCGAAGGGCCCTATACACTGGCAGGCAGACAGCGAGGACAGCGGTCGCTCTGGTGCGTGATATAGAGACACGCACGCCAAGTCTGAAGAAATGAAGTCGGTCGGCTGGCTTCGAAAGAATGGCCGCCATGCATCCAATCCACTAGAGTGAGTGAATGGACACACTGCACGCGCAGAGCGTGACGTGACGCGAGGGATGGCCGGAGGCATCGAACCGATCAATGACTGTCTGGCTGGCTGATCGAGTGTAGTGGTTTTTGTGTGCGTGCGTGCGTGCCTGCGTGAGTTTGGTCTCTACACACATACATGCTACGCTGCTGGTGAGGTGAGGTGATATGTGGTGCATGTCGAGTGGCTGGACGGACAGGCGCGGCACGACGATCACAGAGTCGCGACACGACGATCACATTTTCAATCAATCGAGTTGCTCGAGTCCGTCCGTTCCTTGACTGACTCGATTCATTCCGCCAGCCCACACACCCACACATGCACTGCACGACACAAACGGTTTGTGTATTGTGCAAACTTGTCTCGTCAACAAACAGTTAGACAGAGATACAGAGATAACATCGATATCTATACGTAATTTCATCCACAACCCACACCGCCTAAATGGGGGTGTCTGTACGCGCAAACCTACGTAACGGCACCCACCACACCAGCCCCCTCACCCCCCCCACCCCCCATCCTCTCTCGGTGCTCAGGCACGGCGGCCTGGTGGTGTGGATACTTAAAGGCGCACAAATTACCGTCGGTACGCAGCCAGCCAGATACTTGCTTGTCTTCTACAGATCCATCCGTCCGTCTATTTGATGCCAGGTACCGACTCTACCTCGCATCCCTTGGGCAGTTCCTGCTCACTCATTGCCGTCTCGCACAGCTGCTCAGAACTGTCAGCACACGCAAAAAAGGTCGCCAGTGGCGCCATTTCGACCCCGGCAGACTTGGTTATGGCTTGGAAGAAGCTCTGAACGACAAACAAGCCAACGTGGGCGTTTAGAACAGTCAGTAAGCTAAGCAGTGACATCACGTACCTTCTTCTGTGCGCGTCCCTCGGGGGCATTAGGGAGCTCGGCCTTCTTGCCGCCCATCACTATGTAGATCTGGTAACGGTGCTGTGTAGTGTGAGAGACAGACAGACAGACGGCAACGGTCCATTCCTCCTTTTCCTCTAGTACGTGGCGGCTGCCTGAGTGAGTGTTAGTTACCATGCCCTTGGGCGGTGAGGGCGGGACGAATTCCAGCATTTCGCAGCCCGACCAGCTCTTGCTCGGACCCAGTGCCACGACGGTACCCTCACAAGCTGGACAGCCACACACGAAGCGGACCGAAAGTCAGCGAGTGTGTTTTGGTGGGTATGAGCTGACCTTTCTCCTGTTCGGGTGTGAACTTTCCTTTTGTTAGGTTCGCCACCCACCAGTGGAAGTAGTCCTGCCGGCCACAATCACACAGAGCACGTGCCGCTGTCTGCGTTGAAGGCAGGACCTTACCTTGTTTTGCTTCTTGGCTTTGGCATTGCCCTGACAACCGTTAGGCTGACTCACGCACACGCGAAAGAAACACAAAGGATTGCAGCAGTGACGACGTGGCAATGTGAAGCTCTCCCTGTCTGGCCCTCTCTCCCTCCCTGGCGCTCCCTCCCTTCTCACCGCATCGGGGTCCACCATAATGAGGGTCGCCTGTGTGGCGTCATCATCCAGCTCCACATTTGTCCGCACCTCCAGGCTGCTCGTGTCCGAGCTGAGGTCAAAGTCCTGCGTGAACCGCGCTGGGGCGGCCGCAGGGCCGTCCGCACGCACATCGCCTCGGACTGACACGGCCGCCCCCGCCCCGAACGCGATTGCCGCGTGGCCGGCGGTAACCAGCAGCACCGAACGGAGCACACAACGCGTCATAAGAAAACGACCCGATACGACAGATTTACGGCCGTTGGCTAATTGAACGCTGTGCTAAACCGCCGCTCAAAGCCTGCCCTGATATTTCCCTGTATACGGCCCAGATGAGGGGGAATGTAGCGGTAGCCGCCCTGGTGGCCCTCATCCTCTCTGCGTCGGCCGCCCCGCCGCAGCAGCCCGGCACCTTCCTCACGCCGAAAACAGGTGAAGGACGCCACAAACACCGCTCGACAAGTACTGGAATCACTTTCTTTGTGCTGTGTCATGCCGTGATATGTATGCAGAAGGCGCCAAGAAGGAGCAGACTGATGTGCCAGCGGACGTCATCGATGGAATCGTCGACGCCGTTTCCGAGCTTGACGTGTCAGCTGTAGTACGTTGGGGCAGCTGCTGGAATACAAACACGACCGTGGCTGGGAAATTTTGTGTATGATGTTCGCTTGTTCTGTGTGTGTGTGTGTGTGTGTGTCGTGTGGATGGTGTGTCCCACCGAGAAGAACAGTGAACGGATAGCGCCGATCATCACGAAGGTCCTCAAGGACTTGGTCCATACGCCAGACCAATTCCTGGAGGGCATCGGTACGCGCCGCCAGAGCCCATAGACAGCTATGTTTCGACCTGATTGGTTTCCTTACTGTTGCACTCAGTCACTGTTTTCGTCAACTTGCCTAAGTACTTGGAGGCGCTGCCTTTCATCCTGGAGGACATGGGGCTTTCTGAGGCGACCAAGCTGGTCGGACTCTTCTTCGACAGCGACCTGTTCAAGCCCGAGAACCACCCCGAGCTCGCCGGCCCCTTCCTGCTCAAGTACACCAAGCAGTTTGCCGACACACCGGGCGCTGGCAAGAAGCTCACCAAGATCCTGGAGAGCCTGGAGCCGAGAATGCTCCTTGACGTGCTGGAGAAGACATTCGGCGGGTCGGCTGCTGGCAGGGGTGACTCATCCCTCCTCTCGTTCACAGTTGAGGGTAGGCCTGTGGCGGCGTACTTTGCTGACGCAGCCAAGAAGGCGATGGCTAAGCTCAAGGGACAGCAGCCCAAAGCTGGCGTAGACAAGCGCAAGAAAAAGAGCAAGCAGGACAAGGCGGTCAAGGAATCGACGCTGGAGGAGCTCATTGATGATTTGGAGGGTCTTCCAGTCGACTGGGGCTGCGACTTGGCGGCTGTGCTCCCTGACGTCGACGAATTTGTCGAAGAGTGCCTCGATGAGCTCTCGGCGACTGAGCTGCAACCGATTATCGGTCAGTTCCCGGAGAAAGCACTCTTTTGGCAACTGTTGGCATCTCTCCTCCTATGCTACCGTGCCATTGTCTCCCTAGGAGGTTTGGTGGCCGCCTTTTCGGCTTTCGACCCTGAGCTCGCCCTGCAACTAGTCAGTGGTAGCCATCCACGACACACACACACGCACACAAAGACGTCAGCTGTCCTGTGTGTCTGTGGTGCTTGGTTGTTGGTTGCTGTGTTGGTCGTCAGCAATCTTCGGTCGCCGTGGCCTGGCCGCTTCGAAACACCTGATCGCAGGCAGGACGTTCGAGTCGCCATCGGTGGCGGCTGCCATGTTGGAAGGGTTTGTAGCCACATTCAAGAATGACAAGGGCCTCGACAAAGCCATCCCGTGAGTGCGAGGCGCACATGCTCAACGCGTCTTATATCTGTGTGTGTGTGTGTGTGTGATGCAGTGATCTCATAAGTGGGTTGGACCGCAAGGCGCTGCAAGCCGTCATCAGCATGGCTCGCCGAAAGGGCAACAAGAGCGTCCTCCTGACCACCAAGGTGCTCACTCAAATCACGCTCTTACTGCAGCATTACAGGGGATGCTCACTCACTCTCTGGTTCATCATTGCCTGTCTGTTGCGGTCACCTGTGTGTGTATGTGTGCCAGCTTGACGGCAAGGTAATCATCACACACGTCATTGCTGAAGTTGCGAGGAAGAAGGGCAAGGAGCTCTCCAAAATGGCCGCCAAAGACCAACCCGCCAAGAAAGAACAGGGATGCGTGGAGGATGTTCTGGCTGGAAGGACGACCCTGAGCAGCCCAGAAGATGTGGAGGATTTCTACGCTTCCTGCATCGATTCTCTGCCGAGCCTAGATTTCCAGGAGGCGGCCGTTGGTACGTCTGAGTGAAACAACAACAGCAAACACAAACAGCATGTGTCGCCTTGGATGTCGGCCGTCTATGCAGCTGCGGTTTTCGTGGTGCTGGATGACCCCAACCTTGTCGACGGCCCCACTGAAGAGCAGCAAGAGCTCGTCAACCAAGTCGTCAACGACTTCGGAGCCGATTCTCCATTTATCAGTAAGTACCCCGCCACACACAGATGGCAGAGGACGATGGACAATGCAGTGGCCATGGGATTGATTTTTGCATGCAGCTGCCGTCCAGAGCTCTCTTGAGTCTATTCCGGCCGCAGATGTCGCAGATTTTGAGGAGGCCGTCGAAGCGGCCCAACAACGCCGCCGCCGCCGACGAAACCGGACGGCGATGGCAACGATGTGCGACTTTCTGGACGCTCCGGAGCTGATCGCTAACAAGGCCGTCGAGGATTATGTGGACTGTCTCATCGCCGCAAACAAAACCTATGAGGCAGAAGTTCTTGGTACGTACTCCACAAACACGTGACGATTGGAAGCGTGGACGCACGGATGGATGTCATGTGTGCCTGTCCGTCGTGTCTGTGTCTGGATGTGTGCGCAGTCCTCTCAATCCTCGACCTTCCCAAGAGCATTGCCCTCGATAGCTTCGCTGAGGAGCTCTTCAAGGTGCTCGGCCTCAAGGATGCGGAGGAGCTGCTTGTCGACCTACTGAAGCTGCCTGAAGACATGCTGCTCGAGAAACTCTCCGCGGAGGCGGTTGAGACGCTCGTCGAGACTCTCATCGTCACATTTGAGGCAGAGACAGGCTTTGAAGAGCTGTGCACGTAAGCCCGGGGACGCACGTCATGTCTCTTTAATGCACGGCATGGATTGTATGTTTGTTTCTTTTTCTTTCGCCCTCCCTCCGTACGTGTGTGTGTGTGTGTGTGTGCAGTGTTGTGCTGGGGGCTCTCAATAAAGTGCTGCCACAGCCGACGAGTCTCACGTGCTCGTTGTCGGATACAGCCGGGGAGAAGAAGGGCGGCAAGGACAAGAAGGGCAAACCGGCCAAGAAGGCCACCAAGGGCGGAAAGGCGCGCAAGGAGATGGACTTCCCCTGCTCAATCACAGAAGTCGGCTGCTTCCTTAGCATCACGAACAACGTTGCTGAGGATGCCAAGCTGTTCGGTGCGCAGGCGACTGGCACGCGCAAGACATTCGCACACGGATCTTTGGTCTCTAACTCTTCTGTGTAGGTATTGCTATGGAGTTCCTGGAAACCTCCGCTGATGAGATTGAGCTGCTCAAGGACATTCTCGAGAAACTCGACCCACAGGAGGAGGCCCTCTTCCTTGAGAACCTGTTCGGTGGCGCGCTTGACGACTTTGAAACGACTTTGAAGCTTTTGGAGGCGGTCATTGCGGAGGAGGTCTTCGAGAACGATGTCGAAGAGAGACTACTTGAAGTCTTCGCCCTCGAGCTCGGCGACCTGTTCACGTTCGATATAGCTGTGGTTACGTAAGCGGCCATACACACAGACACATGGATACATTCATCGGTCATGACCACCCATCGTCCTGCTGTCCTGTCCATCAGGGATTTGGCGACTAAAGCCGGTCTACGTGAGGATCAGATAGAAAAGATCGTAGAGGCTGCTGAGACGGCTGCCAGCACAGCCACGGGGAGGGATGGAGGGGCCCGGTGCGCTCGCACCAAAGAGATCGACGCCCCCGAGGCGTGCGGAGACCTACCGGTCCAGTCGGCCGACGTCGACAGCTATGTTCTTTTGTGCCTCGTCAACCTCAAAGACTACAACCCCCTGCTTGTGGATCAGCTCGGTACTCACACACATTCAGACAGACAGACAGACAGACGGACGGACATGCAACATTCATGTGCACCACATGGATGTGTGTGTCTGTGTGTGTGTGTGTGTGTATGCAGCTTTCTCGTACAAGGCTATTAAGGCCGTCGATGCCGCTGGTGAAGACCTGAGACAGGCTTTGGTTAACTCGGCGTTCAGGCAACTCGGCCTGGGGGCCAACCAGGCATCCGCTCAGTCACTTGCCAGTGAGGCACACGCCAAAACAGCACGCACACGACTCGACATATCTTGGTGGGTGCGTGCGTTCGTGCGTGGGTGGCTGCAGCTGATGTGTGGTGTACTGTCAAGGCGGTGGACGCCGACGAGGGCACCACCCGTGCTCCAGAGTTCGCAGCCAAGTTCAATGCGTGGACACAGCTGGAGCCTGTGAGTCAGGCCCTGCTGGATTTCTCGACGCTCGCCTGCTCAGACCAAGTCATCTGCCGGCGGTCACAGGGCAGCACCGCCAAGAAGGAGGATACGACAATCGACAAGAGAGAAGTATCTCAGCCAACCAATAAGACTGAAGTATCTGACGTGTCTGTCATGAAGACGACTGGAGACGTGACTAATACCACGACCGCTTCAGGCACCAGTCACCCTGCTGACTTTGCGGCCAAGGTGGACGAGATCGCAAGAGTCATAAGTACGCACTTGGTTCACGCACCGAACAGATCCATCCGTCCCATGTGTCTCTATCTGCCTGTCGGTGGTGCCGTCCGTCCTCTCAGAAGCATACCTTGAGGGCCCCTGCAACCAAGTGAGGATTCGCGACAAATGCTTCAGTGAGGTGGCCAAGTTTGTCAGCTCGACGGTGCCTCCCGAGAGCCTCGACAAACTCCTCGGTAAGTAAGCTGGTGTCGTCACACACACCGGCACACACACACACACACATCCAGAGAGAGAGAGAGAGAGCTGACTGGAAGAACCCATTCGTCGTTCGTTCCCCTTCCCCCCGCCTGTGTTGGGTGTGCGTCCAGAGGCTGTCGACAGTGTCCAGTTCACTGTGTCGGTGCAGTACGCGCTTGAAGGGATCGACGCCGACAACCCCGTTGTGTGCAAAGACAACAAGGGCAAGCAGCAGAAGGACAAGGGCAGCAAGAGGGGCAAGGAGCAGGGCCCTATTGTCACCATCCCCGGTTTTCTCAAGCCTGAACAGTTCGGTACGCATCCACGCATACCACACACAGCGCGGCAGGGTGACAGGCAGACTGACTGACTGACATCTGCTCTTGTGTCTGTGCTGCCATGTGTGTGTGTGATGTCTCAGTCCGGTTGTTCCTGTCCATCTGTCAAGACGCCAGCTGCATCGACACTGCGACGGCGCTCTTCAAGCTCAGTGACCTCTCTATTGGTTGGTACACCTACATCGAGACCGACACACACACACACACATGGGAGGGAGGGAGGGAGGGAGGGAGGACAGCTGATGACAAGAGGACACGTATGCACCCACGATTGGCCGTCTCGCTGTGCAGCTGACATCATTGAGGAGCTGCGCATCCAGGCCGGCAAGCTTGGCCTGACGGACGCGAAGATTGACGAGCTGATTGACGCCTTGCGGCAGGCCTCCGACGCGGCAGGCAGCGAGGAGAAGCAGGGCGACAAGGCCGTCCAGGAACAGACTATTTCAGTGCTCATTGTGCTCATGAGTAAGCGCGCGCACATGGATAGATGAGCAGAGAGCGATTCTCGCAAGGCAGGCGAAGACAAGAGCATTTCCGATGGGTGTCTCTCTCTGGCTGTGTTCAGTTTCCATATTCACGGGCGGTGACGGTGATGGCAAGGCCATTGACTTTTTCCTGAGTATTTACGGATTGTTCATCTGCCAATCCTCAGGAGGCCTGTCTGGCTTCTTCGGTACGCGACGCGGCGCATCAGACAGTATGTGTCACACACCCACTTGTCTGATGCGTGTGTGATGACATCTAGATTCTGTCGAAGCGAAGATGATCTCCACCAGCCCCAACCAGGTCGACGACTTCACTGCTGCACTCAAGGATATGACTTTCACCTGCCCTACCGATGCCACTGCCGTGATACCCGGCAAGACGGCTGGCAAGCAGAAGGAGGGCAGCAAGGCCGTCAAGGAACAGTTCACTATTAGTTTTACTGTGCTGATTGTCATCATGAGTAAGCATGCACACATGGATGGATGAGCAGAGAGCGATTCTCGCAAGGCAGGAAGGCGAAGACAACGGCATTTCCATCGGCGTCTCTCTCTCGCTGTCTTCAGTTTCCATATTCACGGGCGCCAATGGTGGTGATGGGGCAGCCATTGACTTCTTCCTGGGTATCTACGGATTGATCATCTGCCAATCTTCAGGAGGCCTCGATGGCTTCATGGGTACAATACACGAGGTTGTCACACAGTATATAACTCGATGCAAGCTGCTCGTCTCGTCTGACTCATGTGTGGTGACAGACGCAGCGCTAGAGAAAGTGAAACAGCAGCTACTTCCCGACCAGGTCGACGCTTTCACTGCTGCACTCAAGACCATGACTTTCACCTGCCCTACCGATGCCACTCCCGTGATACCCGGCAAGACGGCTGGCAAGCAGAAGGAGGGCAGCAAGGCCGTCAAGGAACAGGACTGCGAGGAACTCGCTGCCCTACTCGGTAAGTGAGCACGTGCGTGTCCGTAAGCTGAATCGATGGACGAGCCAGACAGACACAGCCGATCACAGCCAGCTAGCTGAATGTGTGAAAAGTGTGGTGTCCGTCGCGTGCAGCTGGCCTTCTCGTGGATTTCATGGGCAACGAGGATGCGTTTCAAACTCTCGTTGGCACCTTCCGCGACACGTTGCCACCGAATTGCACCGCCGAAGACTTTGCAGGTACGTATGTGTGTATGTGTATGTGCCCACCCCGGTCTGTCTGTCTTCTGCCTGCCTGTGGCTCCGTCTCTTGTGCAGGTCTTGTCGAAGCGCAACTCGAGGCCCTGGAGGCAAATGCAGAGCTGATCCAACAGTTCAAAGATGCCTTCCTATAACGGGCCGCATCCTTGGAAGATGGTGGTTGGTGTATGGTGGTTATCGTCAACTCGGTCGGCATCGAGCAGGGAGGGCGGCAAGACAAGGGGCTGCCATAGGTCAGTGATATGGTCGGCGTTTTTCGATACGTACATGTACGCACATGTGCATGGCTGCATGGCCATGCAGCCGGCCGGGCAATTTTCTGTACGTCCATACATGCTGCCCTAATGCCATTCATTCATGCGGTAGTGAGGCGGTAGTGTCTCTCTCTTTTTGTCTTTCTTGCTCCACTCCACACACACGTGCGCTTGAAGCTGGGTACAGTACAGTACAGTGCAGTGCGGTAGAGGAGAGGCAAGGCAGCAGAGCAGCATCACATGTGGCAATCGCTCTCGAGCGGTCACTCGTTTGTTGGCTCTGTCTGCCTCCCCACAGACACATACAGATACATATACAGTACACACACCCATGTAAGAAACACATGGGAGTCGGCGGGAGGGCAGGCCGTCAAAAACAATTAAGGCGGTCCGTCGCCCCACCCCTCTGAGACCCAAATTTATGCGCACGACATCCGCCGTTTTCGTCTCTCTCTTGCAAGCCAAGATGTGACATTGGTGGGTTGGCCATGTCGGCGTTAATTTGGCTGCTGCGATCCATGATTTGGATCGGATGCATTCACTTATGATGTGGTTTGCGACGGCCTCTGCTCTTCTGATACATGTGTTTTGAGGTTGAGACACACACGGATACACGATGGAATGGAGAACGGAAGCCAGGCCCCTGAGAGAGGTTCATGTCAAATTAAGCATGGCAAGAGAGACACGGACATTTTGCGGCCGAAGGCTGCCATGTCTGCCCCTGGGGCCAGCCCTGCAGTCAGAAGGCCAGCTTGTAGCTGCAGAACCAGCCCTGCAGCCACAGGGCCAGCCCTCCAGCTGAAAGGCCAGCCTTGCACTCAGGGCCAGCCTTGCAATGAGTCAAAACCATCTAGAAGCACTTAAGTCGTCCCGCAGAGGCCAGCCGTGTGTCCTTCCGCCCAACAGCTACCGGGCAGATCTCTCCTCACTCAGCAGCGACGAGAGGGAGCGGCAGACCTTCGACCTCTTACTCCGGTGTGGAGAGGCGATCAGTTCTTTGTGTATGTGTGTAAGTGTGTGTGTGATAGCAGCTGTTGTGGCAGTGTGGCGGGTGGGTGATTCGGCATGTGCGGCTCTCCCTGTCTGGCCCTCTCTCTCTCCCTCCTGGAGCTCCCTCCCTTCTCACCGCATCGGGGTCGGCCGCGATTGCCGCGTGGCCGGCGGTCACCAGCAGCACCGAACGGAGCACACAGCAAGAGCTCCCGACGCCAAATTTACAAAGATCGGCCGTTGGCTAATTGAACGCTGTGCTAAGCCACCGCTTAAAAAGCCTGCCTTGTTTATCTCCTACCGCGTAGTATACGGCCCAAATGAGGGGGAATGTAGCGGTAGCCGCCCTGGCGGCCCTCATCCTCTCTGCGTCGGCCGCCCCGCCGCAGCAGCCCGGCACATTCCTCACACCGCAAACAGGTGAAGGACGCCACAAACACCGCTCGACGAGTACTGGATTCACTTTCTTCGTGCTGTGTCATGCCGTGATATGTATGCAGAAGGCGCCAAGAAGGAGCAGACTGATGTGCCAGCGGACGTCATCGATGGAATCGTCGACGCCGTTTCCGAGCTTGACGTGTCAGCTGTAGTACGTTGGGGCAGCTGCTGGAATACAAACACGACTGTGGCTGGGAATTTTTCCGTTCCGTGTATGATGTTCGCTTGTTCTGTCTGTGCCTGTGTCTGTGTCCGTGTGTGTCGTGTGGATGGTATGTCCCACCGAGAAGAACGGTGAACGGATAGCGCCGATCATCACGAAGGTCCTCAAGGACTTGGTCCATACGCCAGACCAATTCCTGGAGGGCATCGGTACGCGCCGCCAGAGCCCATAGACAGCTATGTTACTGCCTGATTGGTTTCCTTACTGTCACACTCAGTCACTGTTTTCGTCAACTTGCCTAAGTACTTGGAGGCGCTGACTTTCATCCTGGAGGACATGGGGCTTTCTGAGGCGACCAAGCTGGTCGGACTCTTCTTCGACAGCGACCTCTTCAAGCCCGAGAACCACCCCGAGCTCGCCGTCCCCTTCCTGCTCAAGTACGCCAAGCAGTTTGCCGACACACCGGGCGCTGGCAAGGAGCTCACCAAGATCCTGGAGAGCCTGGAGCCGAGAATGCTCCTTGACGTGCTGGAGAAGACATTCGGCGGGTCGGCTGCCGGCAAGGGTGACTCATCCCTTCTCTCGTTCAAGGTTGAGGGTAGGCCTGTGGCGGCGTACTTTGCTGACGCAGCCAAGAAGGCGATGGCCAAGCTCAAGGGAGAGAAGCCCAAGGCTGGCGTGGAGAAGCGCAAGAAAAAGGGCAAGCATGGCAAGGCAACCGAGGAGGCGTGTGCACTGTAGATGGCGTCATCTCGCGACTGGACGCCAGCAATGTCAAGGCTGACGATGATATTCCGCTGGTCGACGCCTGCGACACCTCTGCAGAGATCAAGGCTATTTTGGCGTCTGACCCACCGACCACCGCTCAGCTCCAGGCATTCAGCAAGACATGCCTCGCTGGCCTCTCGCAGGAAGAAGAACGTGAGTTCTGAGATGGCTGAGTGTGTTGACATGGGAGCCTGCATTATCACATGTACGCATGTCTCGCAGTGGATGTGGCGGAGGCCTTTGTTTGGGCGTGTCCGACAACATCCGACGACATCCTCAGTTGTAGCCATTCACGACTCACACACGCACACACAGACGTCAGCTGTCCTGTGTGTCTGTGGTGCTTGGTTGTTGGTTGCTGTGTTGGTCGTCAGCAATCTTCGGTCGCCGCGGCCTGGCCGCTTCGAAAGACCTGATCGCGGGCAGGACGTTCGAGTCGCCATCGGTGGCGGCTGCCATGTTGGAAGGGTTTGTAGCCGCATTCAAGAATGACAAGGGCCTCGACAAAGCCATCCCGTGAGTGCGAGGCGCACATGCTCAACAGGTCTCACATCTGATTTGTGTGTGTGTGTGTGTGTGTGATGCAGTGATCTCATAAGTGGGTTGGACCGCAAGGCGCTGCAAGCCGTCATCAGCTTGGCTCGCGGAAAGGGCGACAAGAGCGTCATGACCACCAAGGTGACCACCGCCGCGGTGCTCACTCAGTTCACGAGCATTCATTGGATGCTCACTCACTCTCTGGTTCATCATTGCCTGTCTGTTGCGGTCACCTGTGTGTGTATGTGTGCCAGCTTGACGGCAAGGCAATCATCACACACGTCATTGCTGAAGTTGCGAAGAAGAAGGGCAAGGAGCTCTCCAAAATGGCCGCCAAAGACCAACCCCCCAAGAAAGAACAACTTACGGCGGATGTTGAGGATTGCGTGACGGATGTTCTAAATACGACCCTGAACGACACAGAAGCGGCGGATCTTGCGGATTCCGCGACAGATGTTCTGGACGGCAGCACAGAACAATATACTGCCAGCACCTGTAGCTACCTATGCGGCAATTACGATTATATCTACTACACCACGTACTACTCCTACCCCTACTGCTGCTGTAGCGACTATTACGGCTACCCGGCCTTCTGTCCCTACAGACGTCGCCGACAAAACCGAGGAGAGATGGCAACGATGTGCGACTTTCTGGACGCTCCGGAGCTGATCGCTAACAAGACCGTCGAGGATTATGTGGACTGTCTCATCGCCGCAAACAAGACCTATGAGGCAGAAGTTCTGGGTACGTACTCCACAAATACGTGACGATTGGAAGCGTGGACGCACGGATGGATGTCGTGTGTGCCTGCCCGTCTTGTCTGTGTCTGGATGTGCGCAGTCTTCTCAATCCTCGACCTTCCCAAGAGCATTGCCCTCGATAGCTTCGCTGAGGAGCTCTTCAAGGTGCTCGGCCTCAAGGATGCGGAGGAGCTGCTTGTCGACCTACTGAAGCTGCCTGAAGACATGCTGCTCGAGAAACTCTCCGCAGAGGCGGTTGAGACGCTCGTCAAGACTCTCATTGTCACATTTGAGGCAGAGACAGGCTTTGAAGAGCTGTGCACGTAAGCCCGGGGACGCACCTCATGTCTCTCTTATGCACGGCATGGATTGCATGTTTGTTTCTTTGTCTTTCGCCCTCCCTCCGTGCGTGTGTGTGTGTGGTGTGCAGTGTTGTGCTGGAGGCTCTCAATAAAGTGCTGCCACAGCCGACCAGTCTCACGTGCTCGTTGTCGGATACAGCCGGGGAGAAGAAGGGCGGCAAGGACAAGAAGGGCAAAGCGGCCAAGAAGGCCCCCAAGGGCGGCAAGGGCGGCAAGGCGGACGCGGACGCGGCGCACCCCCACGCAGGTCAATCCTTGCATGCACGACACAATGACGATCGGTGATCCATCATTCATCGTTGCGTGTCTGTTCAGTGACGACTTCGACGGCTTTCCACCCAGCTACTAATTCTCTTCATCGACGCAACTCAGCTCATCAACACACCATCCCCCAGGCAAGGACCTGGTCATGGTATGCGTACACACGCGGAAAGAGGGATGCATGAATGCATGTCGCCACATACATACTTGCATACCTACTTGCACACTTGCATACGTCTGCATACATATACGTATATACATACATATACGTACGCATGCGAGGCGACCAGCCTCAGCTGTCTGTGCTTTGAATCGGCGTTTGAATGCCGTCACCGCAGTTACATGTTCATGTTCTTCGTGTTCGTGTGGGTGGGTGTGTCAGAGAGAGAGCTCACCACCAACCACATCGATCGATACTGGCGATTTTCCCTCTAGCCAGCCAGCCAAGCACCAGCGATAGAGCAACCTGTAGCGCTCCATGCATACTTTCTTGTCACTGAGTAGCAGATGAGTACCCAATAGACACACACACAAACGCAGACGCGTGTGTGTATGCAATGCGAACTTGCAATGAATGGATGATCGATCAATCGATGACTGCTTCATGCGCAACCATCGACATAGACGCATACATACACACCAACGTCCCGACACACAGTGAGGGCACGCATACAGACCAATCTGATACGTCTCTCTCTATGTGTCTCTGCTGCTGTCAGGCATCCTGTGAGCGGCCAAGTGGTCTGTGATCATACAAGCCACGAGCGTCGCCACAGTGCAGTGCAGTGCGGTAGAGAAGAGGCGAGGCAGCAGAGCAGCATCACATGTGGCAATCGCTCTCGAGCGGTCACTCGTTTGTTGGCTCTGTCTGCCTTCCCACATACAGATACAGATACATATACAGTACACACACCCATGTAAGAAACACATGGGAGTCAGCGGGAGGGCAGGCCGTCACAAGAAGGCGGTCCGTCGCCCCACCCCTCTGAGACCCAAATTCATTCGCACGACATCCACCGTTTTCGTCTCTCTCTTGCAAGCCAAGATGTGACATTGGTGGGTTGGCCATGGTTATGTTTGTGTCGGCGTTAATTTGGCTGCTGCGTTCCATGATTTGGATCGGATGTATTCAGTTATGGTGTGGTTTCGTGACTCGTACCTTTGCGACGGCCTCTGCTTCTCTGATACATGTGTTTTGAGGTTGAGACACACACGGATACACGATGGAATGGAGAACGGAAGCCAGGCCCCGAGAGATTCACGTCAAATTAAGCATGGCAAGAGAGACACGCACATTTTCCGGCAGCACTTCTGCTCATCCAATCGACGCCGGTGACCATCAATGCCTTCAAGCTACCTGAAGGCGCCTCGGTGAATCCACGTCAGAAAATGCAATGCAAGCGACTTGTGCGCAAAGCTGGCCCTGCAGCCACAGGGCCAGCCCTCCAGCTAAAAGGCCAGCCTTGCACTCACAGGGCCAGCCTTGCAGTGAGACAAAACCCTCCAGAAGCACTTAAGTCGTCCCGCAGAGGCCAGCCTTGTTTCCTTCCACTGCCCAACAGACACAATCCACACAGCTATCGGGCAGGTCTCTCCTCACTCAGCAGCGACGAGAGCGAGCGGCAGATCTTCGACCTCCTGTTCCCACCTCATGTTTCGCCCCGACAGAACAGGTGGGGGAGGGAGGAGATGGTGGTCTGGGTGGGAAGAAACGGAAGACAGATGGCGGTGTGACCACAGCACGTCAGTACACGTCAGTCGGACAGATACTGCGTCGCGGCTGGGTGCCCCCAAGACCGATTTGGCCCCCACTACGGCATCCCTTCTCTCCCCGCGATGAGGCTGCGATGGTTAGATGTCATCAACAGAGCGGCCCATGTGGTGCTGTTTGTGCTGGCTTCTGCTGCTCTCGTCAATGCACTACACCTGCACTCACACGTGGGCACACATTTCCTCGGGCATGTTTCTGCCATGGCTTTGTGGGGAGAGTTTTGTCCGTTTGCAGAGGGTTTCGGTGGGTGCCGGCGGCCGCATCGACAGAACACGCGTGATTGCATCATCGCAGAGAAGAATAGCACTCATGCAGCCAGACGGTGGGCGTGCCGTAACACAGAGAGAAATAGAGCAACGCCTTTGTGCTTATCCTCTGGTATGATGCAGTGAGCGAGGACCTCTTTGGTGCGGTGGAGATGACGGGCATCAATCGCATCGTCATGGACCGCGACATCAAGGCCTCGTCCGTCAATGCATCCTACTACTCACAACCCATCGAAGTCGAATCGTGTCGACGCGCAGAGGAGCTGGACCCACTCGACGCCAAACACTTCATCACGCGCGCACGGCTCGGCTACAAGGGCCGCGCCTGGTGCGCCGCCAACACTGACAAGGAGCCTTTCATTCAAGTCACCTTCTCTGGAGTCAAGACCATCAAGCGCGTCGTCACACAAGGTGCCGCAGACAGCATGGATGTGTGTCTCTATCGCTGAAGCAGGGGTCTGTCTTGTCTTGTGTGGGTGCTGTGTTGTGGTGGCTTGGCTGCAGCCAATGCGTGTGAGCAGTCGTGGGTGACCAACATAACGATAAAGCATGCCTACGACTCCCGGCCGGCATTCCAGAACTGGATGACGTACAACGACGCCCTCAACATAGGATCCATCCAGACAGTGCTTGATGCGAACACCAACAACGTCGACCAAGTAAGTTAAGTGGGCTGACAGACAGAAAATGACACACGAGACACCACCTGCACTCGTGTGTGTTCATGTGTGTGTGCAGGTGAGTCACCAGATAGGGATCCCCTTTCACGCTGGGGCGGTCCGCATCTACGCCAAGGCATGGCACGGCCGGGCCTGCATGAGAGTCGGAATCTATGGCGACGAATGCACCAGCTGCGACCAAGAAGGTAAGCGAAACACATACCCTCAACCATCACCCTCCCTGCCGCCACCCCACTGCCACCAGGTTCCTTTCTGGAGACCTCCGCTGCCTCGTCCCAGCCCCACAACATCTCCGGCAACCCGCTGCCCCCCGACCTGTCTTCGCTGACGCCCGAGCAGCTGAAGGCCAAGGGGTTCGAACTGGACAAGTGGGAGGATGAGCTGGAGCACTGGGAGGCAGACCTCACTGCGAGAGAGCTGGCACTCAGGGAGAAGCTCCGCAAACACCACGAGCTGCATCACAGGGAGAAGCTGAAAGAGGAGGCAGGGAAAGAAGAAGGGCCCGCAGGGCCACCGCAGGCAGAACGTACGTGAGATTGAATTGGTGCACGCATACACCGACCCGACCGGTACAGTTGTCCGTCGGGTCTTGGTGTCTGTGCAGCTCTGCCCGGCGAAGAGGAGAGGCCTGCGGGGGCGCCACACGATGAACTCGTCGAGGGTGGCGTCTTCTCTAGTATGCACCCTATCCATCACTCACTACAGTGTGATGAAGTCTCTTTCTCTGTCTGTCTCTCTCTCTCTCTCTGTCTCTCTCTCTGGGGTGGTGTATGTGTGCAGGTGAAGGCAGGATCGAGCGAGAGACGAGGGAGGAGGGCCTAGTTCCCCCCGGCCACAAGCCGGGCGCCCCACATCCACTCCCACCCGAAGCCATCTCCAGACAGCAGAGTGACTGGACACACACACACATCATAGAACAGAACACACACGCATCCTCAATCTTCGTCGGTCAATCTGGATGCCCGCGTCTGTGCTCTCTTCAGACTTGCTGACGGCGGTTCATGAGTATGACAGCAAGATAGCCGACCTGCTGCAGCAGAAGAAAGCCGTCCTCGATGCCGAGACGGCCCTCCTCGCCAACGACACAGCGAGGGCCCGCGACTTTATCTGCAGCTCGCTCGGCGGCAAGGTGTCCATCGACAACTCGACGGTGCAGCTTGCGTCAGCGTGCTGTCCCGCCTCCGAGTGCGACAGGTGCGGGGGACCCGGCTGTGAGGCGTATGCGGGCGGCAAGAGCCAGTGCTGCGCCGACTCGGTCGCCGCTGAAGCCAAAGTGTGCAAAAAGGGCGAACATATGCCACCCTGCAGAATAGACATCAGTGCAGGTGCGGACAAGACAAGCCGCACAGAGACACCGAGACACACACACACACAACAAGGAAGGCATCATCATGTGTGTGTGTGTGCAGAGGTGTCTCGTCTGCGTACCGAGTCTGACCGGCTGACGGCTGAGCTGACAGAGGAGGAGAATCGGCGGCTGAGATCCACACAAGAGCTGGAGGGCATCATGAAGGCAGCCATCCACGGCCACCCGCTGCCGCCACCAACAGGGGCAACGGGGGGCAACAGGACAGCTGGTGCAGGTGACGAGGAGCAGGACAGGCTCAGGCAAGAGATAGAGGGCGAAAGGCAAAGAAGGGAAATGGCAGCTGAGGGGCAGGGGGAGGGATGACTTGCTGTCTTTAGGCTGGTAGGTAGGTGGGTCTGTCTGCATATGTAATCAATATGTGTGTGTGTGTGTGTGTCGATCGGTCGGACGTGTGCATTCAATCGCAAATGTATTCGTTCAGCGGTCTCTCATCCACGCCATGCCGAGCAGAAGACACCCACAAAAATCACGTACCAAAAATCCACCTACAGGGGTGTGCCCTGTCCTCTGCCCATTCACTCACTCCTTTCTATCCATCCATCCATGGGTCACTCCCCCCCTGCCTTCCCTTGCTGGCTATTCTCTCGAAGTATGCCCTAGTGTGTCGGTTCTCGTGCGTCACGCGCCACCTCTCCATCCACCGCCCGCCAATCGTCTTGTCGAGCTCGGTGTCGTCACTATCCCCGCCGGCCACCGCATTCATGGCCGGCTCGCGTCGCGCATCATGACGGGCGCATCATGCCCGCCGGCCCTCTCTGGACCGCCTGAAGAAGCCGCTCAGCCATTTGCGGGGCTTGGGGGCGGCCGGAAGAGCCGAAGAGGGGGAGGGAGAGACGGGGAGGGACTTGGCGAGGGGGGATGGAAACGGATGGTTCGGAAACACGCTCTGCAGCAGTCAGATGCCAAAAAAGAACATGTACCTTCTTCGCTCGTCGTCCATCGCCTGATCGTCTTACCAATTGCCAGCGACGTCGGATCGGCATTGTTGACGCCTTTCCTCAGCTCCACCACGGGCGCAGCCGGGGGCATTGTTGACCTCCCTGCCAGTGGTCACCCGCAACGCCTCCCTCGCCCGCTTCTCCCTCTCGAGCACACTTGACCGGCCACCAAACCTGTCAAAACACATCCTCACGGCGCGCGGTTAATGCCACCACGACCCTCCCTCCTCGCACGACACTCGCAAACAGCACACCCTTCTGCCCGAGTGGGAGCGACTGCGTGGACGGCCACAGGACGTAGCGAACCCACTCCGCTCCCCTGTAGGTCGGTGCAGAGGGCAGTGTTGGCGGCGGACTGCCGAACCATCTCGCGTGGAGCCCCGCGGCAGATTCGCATTCACCATCAGAGGCAGAGGGCGATGGACACAATGGATGATGCGTCGTGGCGTGCTGCTTTCTCGGTGATGGCTGAGGCCTGTGCAGGGAAATGTGACTGGAGGGGGCGAGATCTTCGGAGGGACCGAGCCGCAGACCGCTTTAGCTGTTTGGCGTCTGCGTGTATGAAGGTCTCGGCGGCCACGTCCTTGACACCGTGCACATTGCACTTGAGGCCGGGACACACGCAGCACAAAGCACCACCCATCCATCCATTGCAAACGGCGTTTCTCTCGCCCACCTGCACCAGCGATGGACAGCTGCTCCCGCTGCTCAAGGTGTGTGGCTCCTCGGCCGCGATCCCGTGCGAGCTTCATAGCTCGCACCTGTGTTGGAGAGAAAACGAGGAGAAAAAGTAGTGCCGAGGCAACAGCAGGCAGCAATAGAACAGTTGCCAGCGTTTGATAAGTTCTCTCGTCGTTTCGCGTCGTATCCGCCACTATGCCCGCCACCGGCGGTGAAGAAGAACGGTCTCGCGGCGGACTATGGACTGTTACAGCGTATTTCCCACGCACAGGACCCCCCGGCAACAGCAGCAAGGCGCAGCATCACGGCAGTGGCCACCAGTGCCGTCCTCAGCGGCCTGCAGGACTTGGCAGCGGTGCATGCATCGCCAGCAAGCCGCCCAGTGGTCGACCTGACGTCAATCCCCATGTAACGGCAGCGGCTGTGCGTCAGAGGGAGAGGGCGGCGGCCAAGGCGAGGGCACACGAGAGGGCAAAGGAGGAGGATCGAAGGAGATATCGGGAGATGTTGCAGAAGAACCCCAAACTCGGCGGCGGCGGAGCTCGACTGTGTCCAGTCGCCCGCAAGGCCCCGCCGGCCAAGCCGCCCACCCGCGCCAACGTGACGAAGGGCACACGTGTGGGCGACAAGGGGCGTGCAGCGGGGGGTGCGGACAAGTCAGCCTCGCACCGTCAGTCGTCGGCAGTGCGTGTGTCCCCGTCCCCGTCCCCCGCCCCCCGCCTGACGACACAGTACGACACGAGCCGCAAAGGGGTGGTGCGGGAGGGTAGCAGGGCTGCTGGCGAGGGTGGATGTGGTGGGGATGGTGGCAATGGGTTGGGGACCATAGATGTCGATGTCGTAGTGGGTATTGTTGACGAGGTTGACGACGGCGCTGCACAGGTAAGGGAACGAGTGAGGCCGACCCGCACACGAGATTAGCATGTGGTGGGTGCACGTGTGTGTTGTGTTGTTCTTTGGGTGTGTCTGTCTGTATGTCTTCAGATGTACCGTTGTGTTGACGAGGGCCGTTCGTGTGCCATCGTGGCCGCTCATGCCGACCAGCCGGATGCCGCGGCGCTCCACGTGTCTGTTGGTGCTCCCTCCCCCCTCCCCGCCCCCTCCCAGCACAACAACGGTGTGTGTGAGTCGACGCCAATGGCGGTCGACAGCAATGATGCCGTTGACGATGGTGTGGCCATGGTGGGTGAGGTGGAGGGCATCGCTGACGAGGATCACGACGGCTCTGCACAGGTGAGGGAATGAGCGAGGCCGACCCACACACATGATAACACAACACCGGGATGGATTGATGATGGGTGGGTGCGGTTGCCTTGTGTTCACACTTCACTCAGCAAAGTGAGTGGATTGCACTGCCTGTGTCTCTCTCGCTGGTTTCTGTCTGCAGGTCGTCGACGTCGAGCTTTGTGACGCCTCTGGTGCCGCTGCAGAGCCGTGTGCCGCTGCTCCCTCGCTGATCTCCGCCCCGCGCGAGTCCAAGGAGGACGAGCAGCCCATCACACCCAGCCAGAACGAGGCCTCTGCCGACGAGCCCCAGGATTGCGCCGCTGTGGCGTCCACTTCGTTCGTCCGTGGCGACGGCCACTCGTTGGTGTGTGAGGGGTACAACATGGTCAAGACGGTGCGGCGGTGCACCGCGGCATTGGCGTATGTGAGTGCGGCCAACGCCACCATCAGCAAGTGGAAGCCCAAGACGGTCAGGAGTGTGCGGACGACCCAGTGAGTGGCTGTGTGTGCCGGGGGGGAGGGTGATGGGAAGGTGACAGACATGATATGGATGGATGGATGGATGGGTGGCGGGATAGATACACATACACACGTATGTGAGTGGCTGCCTTACTACTGGTTGTCTGTCTGGCTGTACTGTATGTACCTGCCTGCCTCCCCCCGCACACACAGATAGACGGACAATAGATACTGCCTGCCTTGCTCCCTCACTGCCTTCGTGGGCTGATACTTACCGGATAGGGAGACAGACAGCCATACAGACCCGTTGGAGAGATAGAGCGGGCGAAGGAGAAAGAGAGGAGAGCTCACACAGCACTCCCACACCTCTCTCTGTAGAGTAAACACACACACCGCACCCACAATTTGATGGTGTCCAGTCTGACCAGAGGAGCGTGCGTCCACATAGATAGCTGTCGCACGGACCCTCATTGTTGTGCGTGCGTTTCTTTCTTTCTTTCTTTGTGTGTGTGTGTGTGTGGTTGTGCCTCTTTCTTTGCCGATGTCATTCATTTATGCGCGTGTGTTTGTCGTGCGATTTGCCCTTAGTCTGGCTGTATTACCTACCGTTGCATTGCGTGTATTTGTCCCACGATACATAGCGGTATGGCTGCAGGAATGGGTGCGTTTACTGTGATTTATTGCCGTGAATTCTCCGATCTGTGTCATGATTATGTCATGCTTGTTGTTCGCACCGTGTCGTGTTGTGCTTGTGGGGTGGGGTGGGGTGGGGTGGGGTGTGTGTGTCTCGGGGTGGGGTGGGGCGGGAGGGCAGCGTGTGTGGCGGCAGATAAGTTTTAGTGCCGGGGCCGCGTGTGTGGGTAAGAGGACAGCGGTGCCCGGCCTGCTTAGCTAGCTGCATACTTGACTAATTCCATTTCGGCGCCACACGCACCGGTTCCAGCTGAGGTTAAGAGGCGGGAGGGGAGAACCAGGTCAACGTAGAGGTCGACGATGAAATGATACCCGTCGGTCGGTAAGCAAAGCAACCACACACACACACACACACAGGGAGAGAGACCTCAGCTCACACATCACATGCACCTTCTTTCCCTTCGGTGTGTGGCTCTTGCATACATAGGTTTGGATGAGGACCATGACCTACCTGTTCAAGTCGACCATTTTGCTGCGCACCCAGGCCGAGGCCTACCTGTCCCTCTCCTTCCTGCTGGACCGCTGCCTGGTGCCGTCCTACCGCGCCGTGCGTCTCGAGGCCGACGAGCAGATCTTCAACTGGACCTACCAGCGCATGCACGGCACGGCCACATCTGGCAGCTGGAGCCGGGCACCCGGCCCTACCCCCCTCACACCCCCTCACACCGTCCAAGGCAACGAGAAGAAGACCGTCGCGCGGCGGGACCTCCTGGGCTGGCCCGTCCCCAACTGCAGCTCGGCCCACTACACCGAGGACATCCGCGGCAGGATGCTCCAGGGCCTCCTGCTGCCCTATGGGGGCAAGATCCAGCTCGAGTCGGACCTCAAGGCCGAGCGGGACAAGTGCTTCAGGATGTCCATCCCATGCAGCGCCGAGATCGCCAACCTCGACTGGCTGGGACACCTCAGCCTCGTGTGGAACGGGCCCGGACACCGCGACGGCTCCAGCAAGCCGTCACACAAGCCCACATTCGGCCAGGAGGAGCAGGACAAAGCCGCCGGGGCGAGGGCGGGGGCCAACCCGGTGCTGTTCGGCGACAGGATCTGCTCGCATCTGGCTGCCTGCAGTGTCAATCAACCACGGCACCATCGACGCCAGTGCGCCCGAGTGGGTGCCCAGGGCCAACTGCGTGAGGGTGTGGGTGCCCAGACACCTGTATTTGCCGGACGAGGTGGCGAATAGCGTGCAGGGGACTACTGCTGTGCCATGCCATCACGCCCGTCAAAACCATCAAGGAGGGAGAGCAGCTCAGGTGGGCAGCAGAGACAGTCTTGCTGGGATATGCACTGCACAGCCGACACACACATGGGTGAATGCTGGCTCTCGTCTCATGGTGTCTGTTGTGTGGGTGCTGCAGGTGGTCGTACTGTGAGAAGGCCGACCACTCACCGGTTCTTCTCCCAAGGCCGGCAGCAACAGGCCACTGAAGGAGACGGCTGCCAATCTGCGGTGCTCCACGAGGCGGCCATGCTCATCAAGCCACTGGGGCCGCGACGGGTTGATACGGGGCAACCTTCAGAAGGTACGTGAGGGAGCACTGGAGGCACCAGGCAATGGCTCACGTGTGTGTCTCGTGTGTGTGCCTTGGCAGGTGGGCCATGTCAGTCGTCCGAGCCAGCCCACGATGGGCGGGGGAAGGCCGCATCGGCCGTATCCCGTCCAGATGGGCGGGGGAAGGCCGCATCGGCCGTATCCCGTCCATCAGGGATGGCTCAGGCGATGTGTGTGACGATCGTCTCGACCACCCGCACACACATGCCCACCCTCTGGTTGCCGACAACACCGTCATCCCACCTCTTCCCATCCCCCCATGGAGCCCCGACTTCGACGCGCGGCGTCTTGACGAGGAATTGCAGAGAGAGGTTCTTCGTGCCCGACGACCGCGACAAACGCCTCGACGACAATGCCCTCTTCCTCGAGGCCGCCTGCCGCATCGACGAGTGCCGACACTCAGACGTGACCTGGCTCACCATTCACTCAGGTATGTCCGTCCTGCACACCGTCTAGCAGACAAGCAGAGAGAGATATGCCCATCGGCACCTTCTCTCTCGTGTGCCTTCATTGTTGTATGTGCAGTGCAGGTCTTGGCATCCGCTATTCCCGCCGTCTCCGTGTGTTCAAGGTGCACGTCACCGACCGGTGGGGCCGCACCCACCACTCCAAGCGCATCTACCCCGTCGAGCCCCCCACCCAGCGCAAGCTCGACCATGCCATCACCAAGGCCGTCAAGGAGTGCAACGGACTCGCACAGCTGGTCGAGTGACTCGCCGAGGAGCACGGTCGTGCGTTTGGGACGGACCCGAGTGGTGGCGGTGAGAGGGATGCATATTAGAGGATGGTGGAACGTGGATTGATGGACTTACTTGTGGATAGAGAGACGACAGATGCATGGATGCGGCGCATGAGAGGCGTGGAGAGGCGTGAGCGTAACGCCATGCCATGCCCATGCCCGTGTCGTGTGGATCAAATCCATCCATGTCGACTTACTACTGACTGACTGACTGACTGCGTATTAATGATATTTTTGGTCCACGATACATACGGTTCATTCGACTTGCTTCCTGGTCCCGCGGTTTTGGTTGGCGGCCCGTCGCACACACCCACACACGCATCCGCCAAAAGCACATATTTTTGTGTTCCTGGTTTAGAGACCTTTCTCCTGCTGCCGCTTGCTGCCGCGACACGAAGCTTTTCCCTGCTGCGGCAGAAGCACTGCTGCTCTCTCCGCCGGTTTTTGTCGTCGGCAGCATTTTTTCAGCCTCCGGCGACACCACCACTGCCCATCCCATCAGCCGCTGTTCTATCGGCAGCTTGTCTTGTGCCGTCGCACAACTGATATCGTGTGTGCCCACTCCGCATCTTTCGCATCTTTTGTCCGATTTGGGTTGGCGGCCCGGCCCGCATGGTGGCCACGCCCACTCGCCCGCCCATCATCTGCCCGTTTCTGCCCATGACCAATTTGCAGCTTGTGCCGCCGCACACACAGAGCATCTCACAATGAGCCAGATCCCGATACGCGTGTTCATCGGTGTGTGACGTGTGTGAGATGTGTGTGAGATGTGTGTGTGTGTGTGTATGGTGTTGTAAGTCCGTGGCTTTGCTGACATTCGGGAGGCGGATGAGGAAAGGGCGGGCCTGTGGTGTGACACTGTCTCAACAGTCAAGTCAGGACACTTGACACTTTCATTCTCTGCAGCTGTCTCTTGCTGAAGACAGCAACGCTGTGCGCATAACTGACTGACACGTACGTCCTCTGCGTGAATGCACTGCATCAACCATATCGACCTTTCCACGCGCAAGGCACACAAAAAGGCAAACGTACACGATCCACACCAACCAAGAGAATCTTGGCAACTGCCTCATGATGCTGAATGTGGTCTGTCGACAACCTATCGACAACTAAACCAAATCAGAATCCGTCCACCTGTTTGTCAACAATTAGCCCGGCACAGCACGGACGATTACATACATACTACCCACCCACCCACACACACACACAAACACGGACACACGACAAGCTCAGACACACAAACCACCTACCTGGATACTCACCTCATCCACATGAACCAACACGGGAGCACGCATCGCATCATCGCATGACAGCCGCTTACCTACCTACCTGCGGGCGACAAGAGGACAGAGAGTGTGAGACGAACGAAAAAGGGGTAACGACCTTTGTGCATGCGCTCTCAGTCATCACACACATGAAGTCTCTCTCTTGGTTTGTGTCGAATGTGCCGATGAGCAGCGATCGGGTGGACCTCTCGCGAGGTCATTGCCTCCTGCACCACCGACTGACACCCGAGACGGCCACCAAATCCACGCCGACACACTCACTCGCTAACACACACACACAGCAAGTGCAACGCAAAGACAAGTGGCTGCGGTGTCCGCCAATCACTCGTCGCTGCCCAGGAACTTCGGCTTCAGATAAAGAGAGGGAGGCACTGAAACTGCAAGCAAAGACGCGCACAATTGCGGCAGGACTTGCCTCACTGAGTTAGCCTCCGTACATGTAACTTCGATGTCGTCTCCCTCGATGTCTCCGTTAAAGGGTAGGGCAGCCAATGTGAATGTGCCCGGTCCGGCGATGGCCTCACGAGCTGACAGAGCCTCCGCCTCCCGGCCAGCGCTCGGCTCGGTGTTGCCGAAGGCCGTGAATGGTCCTCCCCTGGTGCCCCGGCTGGCGCTCTCGAGATACGGAGGGTCTCGAAGGCTGAGCAGTAAAGGCACGAAGGCGCATATGTGTGTGTGTGTGTGTGTGTGTGTGCGTGTGTGCGTGTGCGTGTTGTCGTACGTGTCCCAGTCGATGAAATTGCCCTTGGCCTGAACGAAGCAACACACACAGAGGCCATGTGTGTGTGTCTGTGAGTGGGGTGGATGGACGCAGCGTACGTCGAATAGGAGGAACTGGACGGCCGTGACGCATATCGAGACGGGAACGGCCGTGAAGGTGAAGTCCAGACCCATCTCAGCCGGAATCACCAGGTCAGTCGTGCCGTCCTTGATCGTCTTCGCGCTACCCTCGGACTGCGGCCTCTTGAGGTCGAGCAGCCGCAAGCCCGCGAGAGATGGAGTGACCCCTGCAGACAGCACAAACAAAGCCAGGGACAAAAACGCAGAAATGGACAAGTATGGCGCGGCATCCAGCTCTTCAACTGCTGCACAGACCTGCGCACACTGTCATGTCGAAGCAGAAGCATGAAACGGAAACACACACACGCACGGACAATAAGAAATCTTCACATGAGTCGACCCCCTCTTGCGTGTACCTTGGCCTGGCGCACTGTCTTGATTGACTGATGGAGCGAGGCCGTCCAGAAGATACATGTACCTGAAAAGGTCCTTCACACTCTGAGAGTCCGCGCTCAAGCGACCACTGCCCAGAAGTAGGTCTATGATGTCCTTGACGGTGTCCCTGACGATGTCCTTGGCAGTCGTGATGTCCTCGACTGTGTCCATGACAATGTCCTTGACGGAATCGATCACGTCACGGTCCTTGTCTGTCCCATCGTCAGTTGTCGGGGGCTCGGGCTCCTCCGTCGGCTTCTGCTCCGGCCATTCGTCTTGGACGGAGGGGAAGAAGGCCCGTGAGAGACAAAGAAGGGCGGCGAACGAAAGCAGCCGAAGCATGGGTCCCACAACTTGGCCCGTACGGGGGTAAATTTGCTCGTGCCGGATTCACGCCCACATTGAGTCTCACGTGTGCTTGTCGGTCAAGTAATGAATCAACTTCTGATGGGATCACATATGGATGGTCACCAGCCAGTCGATCGATCTGTTTCTCTGCCGCTGGCCACACATCAATCAATCGACACATGGCTGGCTGCACTGCACATGTTGTCACCATCCACATAGCTATGTCCAGACAGATACCACACCCCGGCTGGCTGGCACACGGCACACACACCGACAGGCAGGCAGGCAGGCAGGCAGGCAGGAAGGACAATGAAGGGTTGGTTGGTTGATTTGACTTTGCGTGCTTGCCTGTCTGACATGCCGTGCGTGTACGTTCCCTGTGTGTTGCATGGATGGATGGCATTTGTTGAGTGAACCATGCGCTATCGCTCGTCACCCCTTTGCGTCAACGTCCGAGAATGTGTCTGCACCCACCCCTTTGCATTGCACACCTACAACACGTTTCACACAACACGGAAGGCAGCCGCACGCCACTGCAGATATGACTCCCATCCTCCCATCCCGTCCGTCCGTCCCCTGTTGATAAAACACCACAACCCACCACATGCACACACAAGCGTACTCCTCTCCCCTGCTCTCCTGCTCGCTACCTGCCACCTCCGACCCCTCCCTGACTCCCGCACCTATGCCCTTGTGGTGTGTGTGATTCCTCGATCATTCATTTCTTGGCGGTGTCGGCCTGCTTCGCCGCCTCCCCGCCCTCCTTGCCTTCTTTCTTGCCTCCGATGCCGCCCGCCGTGCCCTGGACGGATGTGGTGGTGCTGTGGGGGGCCGTCGTCATGGTCGAGATGGATTCGGCCTCCACACGGCTCCAGTCGATGCCCCGCTCTGGCTTCCAACCCGACTGCTCACGGAGGCGTTTCTTGAGCTGGTTCTGCCGCTTGATGTGCAGCAACTCAGTATCCTCACGGTCGTCATCTACCGGCGACTCGCCTGCACCACACATGCCATTGGGAGGGTCAGAGGAAGAGAACCATCCATTCGGCGGGATGGACACCGGAGAATTATGCGGCAGGGATGCTCACGGTCGGATGGTACCTGTGTCGGCGCATTGTGCGGCCTGCAGCTTGGCCTTCACCTCAATGAGGCGGGCGGCGTCTTCGGCACGCTGCGAAGGACGCTCCGATGCCATCGCGAACGGCGGATCTAGAGATCTTCCGTCTGGTGCGGCCAGGAATTCACGGGTGTTTACAGACGGCTCGCAGCGAATCCATCGAACCGCGCATCATGGAGCGGCCGCGTGTGAGAGTGAGGTCACACCCTTCATCTCGCCCTCAGTGCCTGAGGAAGAAGAGGAAGATGCCGCACTCACGTCGCCCTCCACCACACAAAGCCGAAGTCAGCGGAGCCAAAGGACCACTGAATGCAATCCATACACCCGTGATTGGTTTGTTCCCATCTCACCCGTGTGCTGCAGACCACTCTCGCCAGCTGCTCGGCGATAGGTCCGCCAGGTCCGCCGCGCTGGTGTTTGTCGCGTTTCTGGTGTACTTAATGGTCTTCAAGGGCTGGAGGGCCGTGCTCCTCTTCCCCCTGAGCATCATCCCGGCGGCCGGCATCCTCTCCTTCTTCTACATGGGCCACACTCACGAGATGTCCCTTGCCCTCCTGCTGGAGATATTCTTTGCCGGTTTCGTGGAGATCGGACTGGTGGCGGAGTGCTTGAACAACAACATTCGACGTCTTTGCGAATCCATGCTCCACGGCTTCAAGGGGTGACGATTCGGACAGCAGCAGCCATGTGGTGGGGTGTCTTCTGTCCATGCTGTTGGTCGGTCTCACTGAGGAAGTGGTGAGAGAGAGTCCCTCTCTGAACAGGCGCACAGGGACGCATACGTGCACCATACCTGTAGTCGATGTGTCTGTGCTGCGTGTGTTTCAGTGCAAGCTCGCCATCGCCAGGTATCGTGTGCGGCTTGACGAGGTTGCGGTGCCCCGTGTGTGTGCGTCGTGGTGGACAGTAGTGGATGCTCCGAGAGTGGTGGATGCTCCGTATTCGCTCGCACTGGTCGGCGTGTCTGCGGCGGCTGGGTGAGAACACGCCAGAAAGCACACGACCGCACCCGTCTGCATCCATTTTAGCCGAGTGTTCCTCAGTTTTGCCTCCATCGAGAACATCCAGTACATTGTCTTCAAGCCCAAGGGGTTGCAGGCCGCCCTCCTCCTGTGCCTTCACCGTGCAGTCATGTGCGTCCCAGGCCACATCGCAGCCACAGGATACGCCTCATGCCGACTCGCCAAGTTCGTCTTCTCCAGCCCCGACCGCGTACCCAAGAGTCCGTCCCTCACCGATTATGCCTCATTCCTGTGGCTGCCAGTGGTGGTACACACCATCTTCAACACGTCGGTGAAGCTCGCGCTGCTCTACACGACTGACAGCCTGGCCCTTTGGCTCACGGCTGCGCTCTCGATGCCTACCCTCTGCGTCCTGGTGATGGCCATTCTGTTTGTCAGAGAGTGGCGGTCCCTCGCCAAATTGCCCTTCTACAACAAACGTGGCGGCGTGATGACTGAGGTGCGTGTGATTGGCGCATCTACGCAGAGCTGAGGCTCGTCGCCGACAGACATACAGACAGACAGACAGACAGACCGGCTGACCGGCTTATTGGAGGGTTTTCTCGTCCACACATCGCCTGTCTGACTTTTTCCTCCTGCATGCATCGCACTGAATGGCACTTAATGTACAGTGTTGAAACGGAGTGGTGCGGCTACATGGCTGCACGGACCTGCTAGTGGATACGGCCGATCATACCGACCTTGAGGGTGTTCGGAGTGCGTGTGCCTGTATGTGTCTCTGTCGTACTTTGTCCGTGACCACTCGTTACTGAATGAAGAAACACACACAGAAATTCGTCGCTGAGTCAGTCATGCCAGCCATGGACAGGAGCGCTAAGCAGGCATGACACCCTGCATCGCACATCTATCCATCTAGCTATCGACACACAAGAAGCCGACTCGACCAACCCTACCGCCCACCCATCCACTCCACCAACCCATGGATCGATCAACCAGCCCCGCGCCAGCATCCTCCCTGCCCCATCCACTGACATCTCACAGCAGCGAATTTGCCATGTGAGCCATCAGGAAGTGACGCAGCTGCTGACCCTTCATGGCATCTGCACCGTAGACACAAACAAACAAACACACGCGCACAATGAATGCATTGCAGTTAGTCACCTACCCCCATCCATCCCTCATCCGTCCAGCCAGCCATGACTCACCTAATTTGGGAATGGTGTGTCCGCCATCGTGTTCGATGAGCACCCCGCCCTGGAAGACGTGCTGCGCCATCTGTACACTGGCGGGGTGCAGCTCGTCCTTCTTGCCCGCTATGTGCAGCGACGGCAGCGTCAGGGGCTGCTCCTTCTCGATAATGTGGCTCCACGAGGGCGACCTGGGCGAGAAAGACGCGATGGTGATGACGAATTTGAGGGCATTCTTCAGCCTCTCGTCGTCTGCCTGACACACACATCCGCCACAGACAGGTCTGCCTGCATGAGGCCGATGTGGGAGGTGGCGGCGGAGTGACAAACTGACTGACCTTTTGTTGCAGTGCTGCGCACATGCACGCAAGCGCCCCGCCCTGCGAGAAGCCCAGCAGACCTGCACACACACCGAAACACACGACTAATGACACACCCCATGTGCTGGCTGGGCTGGGCACGTGTCCGACACACATGCGATGCCTACCATCCACAGGACCCTCTTCCCTTATCTTCTTCGAAATGCTGACAGACAGTAGCGAAATGAATGGACCAGTCAATCATTGGCAGCGTGTCATGTCAGTTGGTCAGTCATGCTTTCTTACTAGTCGACCGCCGCCTCGCCAGCATCGTACTCCATGGTGTTCTCATTCGTGTACCACCACTGATAAAAGTCAGTCTCATCAGGCCACGCCTGCAGGAAGGAACACACAGGTGGCATGATGCGATGATATGATAGTCCCATGTGGCGACTTACTGACCGCTTTGACGATTGGGTTTGTCGGCCCTTGCGCAGGTTGGCACGGGTCGAGGCACTTCAGCTCAGCAATGTCCTGCGAGGCAAGACGCACAGCACAGCACAGCACAGCCATCCGTGTGCTGTGTGTGCCCTGCCGGTACGGTCGAGGGATTGATGTGCGCTTACTGCCAGCAGGTGCGTCAGCCCCGAGAGAAGCAATTGATCCCTCAAGATTCTCGAGTTCGTGCGCCAGCCTGCAGGCACCAGACAGACAGACAGACAGAGCACACACAGCTGGGTGCAGATGTATCGGTGTTTCGTCTGTCCTCTCTGAAATTGACCTGGCAAGCACAGGATCTTCAGCCGCCGCCCTTGCGCGTTCGTCTGCGTCCTCATCTCGCTCGCGACGCGGAGGGTTTGAGTTCTGCAGGCCGGGAGGGACACAACCGCAGCCAAAACGACGGGATCTTTCACCAATCTTCCACGAGTGTATCGCACTGACCCCCTCGCGCGAACCGTGCCCTCACCTTGCTCAAGGTGTGTTGGCTGCTGCCCGCGATCAATGCGAGCTATGAAGCTCGCACCTGTGTTGGAGAGAAAACGAGGAGAAAAAGTAGTGCCGAGGCAAGAGGAGGCAGCAACAGAACAGTTACCAGCGTTTGATAAGTTCTCTCGTCGTTTCGCGTCGTATTCGGACGACTATGCCGCCGGCGGCGGTGAAGAAGAACGGTCTCGCGGCGGACTATGGACTTTCGGGGCGCGCAAGCTACATGGGCTGCGGCATCTATTTCCCACGCAATGGACCCCCCGGCAACAGCAGCAAGGCGCAGCATCAGGGCAGTGGCCACCAGTGCCGTCCTCAGCGGCCTGCAGGACTCGGCAGCGGTGCATGCATCGCCAGCAAGCCGCCCAGTGGTCGACCTGACGTCAATCCGCATATGGCGGCAGCGGCTGTGCGCCAGAGGGAGAGGGCGGCGGCCAAGGCCAGGGCACACCAGAGGGCTAAGGAGGAGGATCTGAGGAGGTATCGGGAGATGTTGCAGAAGAACCCCAAGCTCGGCGGCGGCGGTGCTCGACTGTGTTCAGTCGCCCGCAAGGCTCCGCCGGCCAAGCTGCCCACCCGCGCCAACGTGACGAAGGGCACACGTGTGGGCGACAAGGGGCGTGCAGCGGGGGGTGCGGACAAGTCAGCCTCGCACCGTCAGTCGTCGGCAGTGCGTGTGTCCCCCTCCCCCGCCCCCCGCCTGACGACACAGCACGACACGAGCCGCCGAGGGGTGGTGCAGGAGGGTAGCAGGGCTGCTGGCGAGGGTGGGTGTGGTGGGGAGGGTGGCGATGGCTTGGGGACCATAGATGTTGTAGAGGGTATTGTTGACGAGGTTGACGACGGCTCTGCACAGGTGAGGGAACGAGTGAAGCCGACCGACTCCACACACGAGATTAGCATATGGTGGGCGCACGTGTGTGTTCTGTTGGTACTTGGGTCTGTGTGTCTGTCTTTAGGTGTATCGTTGTGCTGACGAGGGCCGTTCGTGTGCCATCGTGGCGGCTCATGCCGACCAGCCGGATGCTGCGGCGCTCCACGTGTCTGCTGGTGCTCCCTCCCCCCTCCCCGCCCCCTCCCAGCACGACAGCGGTGTGTGTGAGTCGACGCCAATGGCCATCGACGGCAATGATGCCGTTGACGACGGTGCGGCTATGGTGGGTGAGGTGGAGGGCATTGCTGACGAGGCCAGCGACGGCTCTGCACAGGTGGGGGGATGAGTGAGGCCGACCCACACACAGCTGTGTTGCATACTTCACCCAGCAAAAGTGAATGGATTGCACTGCACTGCCTGTGTCTCCCTTGCTGGTTTCTGTCTGCAGGCCGTCGACGTCGAGTTGTGTGACGCCTCTGGTGCTGCTGCGGAGCCGTTTGCCGCTGCTCCCGGGCTGATCTCCGCCCCGCGCGAGCCCATGGAGGACGAGCAGCCCATCACACCCGTCCAGAACGAGGCTCCTGCCGACGAGCCCCAGGATGGCGCCGCAAAGGCGTCCACTTCGTTCGTCCGTGGCGAGGGCCATTCGTTGGTGTCTGAGGGGTACAACACGGTCAAGACGGTGCGGCGGTGCAGCGCGGCGGCCCCGCATGTGAGTGCGGCCAACGCCACCATCAGCACCTGGAAGCCCAAGACGGTCAGGAGTGTCCGCATGACGCAGTGAGTGGCGGATTGTGCCGGGAGGGAGGGTGGTGGGAAGGTGACAGACATGATATGGATGGATGGATGGATGGATGGGTGGCGGGATAGAGATACATGCATACGTATGTGAGTGGCTGGCTTACTACTGGCTGTCTGGCTGTATGTATCGACCTGCCTGCCTCCCTCCCCCCGCACACACAGATAGACGGACGATACTGCCTGCCTTGCTCCCTCACTGCATTCGTGGACTGATACTCACCGGACAGACAGACAGACAAACAGACAATCTCGTCGGAGAGATAGAGCGGGCGAAAGAGCGTGAGAGAGAAGAGGGGGGAGGAGAGCTCACGCAGCACTCCGACGTCTCTCTCTGTAGAGTAAACACACACACCACACACACCACACACACCATTTGATGGTGTGGTGTCCACTCCGACCAGAGCAGCGTGCGTGCCCAGAGATAGCAGCTGTCGCACGGACCCTCATTGTCGTGCGTGCGCTTCTTTCTTGGTGTGTGTGTGTGTGGTTGCGCCTCTTTCTCTGTCGGTCGATGTCATTCATTTATGCGTGTGTGTTTGTCCTGCGATTTACCCTTAGTGTGGCTGCATTATACCGTTGCTTTGCGTATATTTGTCCCACGATACATAGCGGTATGGCTGCAAGAATGGGTGCGTTTACTGTGATTTATTGCCGTGAATTCTCCCATTTGTGTCGTGATGGTGCCATGCTTCTTGTTCGCACCGTGTTGTATTGTGCTTGTGGGGTGGGGTGGGGTGGGGTGTGTGTGTCTCGGGGTGGGGCGGGGCGGGAGGGCAGCGTGTGTGGCGGCAGATAAGTTTTAGTGCCGGGGCCGCGTGTGTGGGTAAAAGGAGAGCGGTGCCCGGCCTGCTTAGCTAGCTGCATACTTGGCTGATTCCATATCGGCGTCACCCGCACCGGTTCCAGCTGAGGAAGAGGCGGGAGGGGAGAACGAGATCAACGTAGAGGTCGACAATGAAATGATACCCGTCGGTAAGCAAACCAACGACACACACACACACACATACAGGGAGAGAGACCTCAGCTCACACATCACATCCACCTTTCCCTTCGGTGTGTGGCTCCCTCCTGCATACATAGGTTTGGATGAGGACCATGACTTGTTCAAGTCGACCATTTTTCTGCGCACCCAGGCCGAGGCCTACCTGTCCCTTTCCTTGCTGCTGGACCGCTGCCTGCTACCGTCCTACCGCGCCGTGCATCTCGAGACCGACGAGCAGATCTTCAACTCGAACTACCAGCGCATGCACGGCTACATCTGGCAGCTGGAGCCGAGCACCCGGCCCCAACAGCAGCTCGGCCCACTACACCGAGGACATCCGCAGCAGGATGCTCCAGGGCCTCCTGCTGCCCTATGGGGGCAAGATCCAGCTCGAGTCGGACCTCAAGGCCGAGCGGGACAAGTGCTTCAGGATGTCCATCCCATGCAGCGCCGAGATCGCCAACCTCGACTGGCTGGGACACCTCAGCCTCGTGTGGAACTGGCCCGGACAGCGCGACGGCTCCAGCAAGCCGTCACACAAGCCCACATTCGGGCAGGACAGGAAGGACAAAGCCGCCGGGGCGAGGGCGGGGGCCGACCCGGTGCTGTTTGGCGACAGCATCTTATGGCTCGCATCTGGCTGCCTGCAGTGTCCATCAACCAGGGCACCATCGACGCCAGTGCGCCCGAGTGGGTGCCCAGGGCCAACTGCGAGGGTGTCGGTGCCCAGACACCTGTATTTGCTGGACGAGGTGGCGAGTGGCGTGCAGGGGGACTACTGCTGTGCCATGCCATCACGCCCGTCAAAACCATCAAGGAGAAAGAGCAGCTCAGGTGGGCAGCAGAGACAGTCCGGATGGGATATGCACTGCACAGGCGACACGCACATGGGTGAATACTGGCTCTCGTCTCGTGGTGTGTGTTGTGTGGGTGCTGCAGGTGGTCGTACTGTGAGAAGGCCGACCACTGGTTCTTCTCCAAGGCCGGCAGCAACAGGCCACTGAAAGAGACGGCTGCCAATCCGCGGTGCTCCACGGGGCGGCCATGCTCATCCAACCACTTGGGCCGCGACGGGCTGATACGGGCAACTTTTCAGAAGGTACGTGAGGGAGCACTGGAGGCACGAGGCAATGCCCACCGGTGGGCTCACGTGTGTGTCTCGCGTGTGTGCCTTGGCAGGTGGGCCATGTCAGTCGTCCGAGCCAACTCACGATTGGCGGGGGAAGGCTGCTTCGGCCGTATCCCGTCCATCACGAATGGCTCAGGCGATGTCTGTGGTGTGGGAGGGAGGCGTAGTCGATTCAGTCGAATCGACGATCGTCTCGCCCACCCGCACACACATGCCCACCCTCTGGTTGCCGACAACACCGTCGTCCCACGCATCTTCCCATCCCCCCATGGAGCCCCGACTTCGACGCACGGCGTCTTGACGAGGAGTTGCAGAGGTTCTTCGTGCCCGACGACCGCGACAAACGCCTCGACGACAATGCCCTCTTCCTCGAGGCGGCCTGCCGCATCGACGAGTGCCGACACTCAGACGTCACCTGGCTCACCATTCACTCAGGTATGTCCTGCACTGCACACCGTCTAGCAGACAAGCAGAGAGAGATATACCCATCGGCACCTTCTCTCTCGTGTGCCTTCATTGTTGTATGTGCAGGTCTTGGCATCCGCTATTCCCGCCGTCTCCGTGCGTTCAAGGTGTACGTCACCGACCGGTGGGGCCGCACCCACCACTCCAAGCGCATCTACCCCGTCGGCCCCCACCCAGCGCAAGCTCGACGACGCCATCACCAAGGCCGTCAAGGAGTGCAACGGACTCGCACAGCTGGTCGAGTGACTCGCCGAAAAGCACGGTCGTGCGTTTGGGACGGACCGAGTGGTGGCGGTGAGAGGGATGCATATTAGAGGATGGTGGAACGTGGATTGATGGACTTACTTGTCGTGTGGATCAAATCCATCCATGTCGACTTACTACTGACTGACTGATTCACTGACTGACTGCGTCTTACTGATATTTTTGGTCCACGATAGATACGGTTCATTCGACTTACTTCCTGATCCCGCGGTTTTCGTTGGCGGCTCGTCGCACACACCCACACACGCATCGCATCCGCCGGAAGCACAGTTCTTTGTGTTCCTGATTTAGAGACCTTTCTCCTACTGCCGCTTGCTGCCGCGACACGAAGCTTCCCTGCTGCGGCAGAAGCACTGCTCTCTCCGCCGGTTGTTGTCGTCGGCCGCATTTTTCCAGCCTCCGGCGACACCACCACTGTCCATCCCATCAGCCGCTGTTCTGTCGGCAGCTTGTCTTGTGCCGTCGCACAACTGATATCGTGTGTACCCACTCCGCATCTTTTGTCCGCAGTCTTCCTTGTTGTCATCCGCCATTTGGGTTGGCGGCCCGGCCCGCATGGTGGCCACGCCCACTCGCCCGCCCATCATCTGCCCGTTTCTGCCCATGACCCATTTGCAGCTTGTGCCACCGCATACACAGAGAGCATCTCACAATGAGCCAGATCCCGATACGTGTGTTCATCGGTGTGTGAGATGTGTGTGTGTGTGTGTGTGTGTTGTAAGTCCATGGGTTTGCCCTGTGTGTGGCTGACATTCGGGAGGCTGGATGAGGAAAGGGCGGGCCTCTTCTGTGGTATGACACTGTCTCAACAGTCAAGTCAGGACACTTTCATTCCCTGGCGTTGCTGTGCGCATAACTGACTGACACGTACCTCCTTTGCGTGAATGATGCATTGCATCAACCATTACGACGTTTCCACGTGCAAGGCACACAACAGGCAGCGGCCGCAGCGGCTGCCTCCCGGCCTTTTTCCATTTCCTTTCATGGTTGCCTGTCTTTCTTTTAGCAGCCCGACCCGTTGCCTTTGGTTCTCCTTTATTTATCCTATCTTTCTTCTTGGCAAGTAAGTCATTCCCTCGGGAGTGCTAGCCTTTATCGGTGTTGACTTCCCTCCGGGGAGGCTCGCCTTTATCGGTGTTGTGTCCTCTGGACGCTCGCCTTTAGTTTGGCTGTCGTCTGGCTGGTTTGTTTGCTCATCTTTGTTTTGTGATGGTTTTCGTTCGTGTGTTTCCCCCTTTCTTTTGGGCGCTTCTTCTTTTCGAAAGACACAACACACCCGCCCCAAGACAACACCAATCGTCGGGTGGGTGGGTGTTGGATGGATGGATGGATGGCTGGATTCTACTAGGTATGGACGTGTCAGTGTTCCCACCCCTCTCTCTAGCCCCTCTTGCCCCTCTTGCTGTGCTAAGCACACCAATCTGGGATTCGTAGTTGAGTGAGCGTGGAATTCGATAGCTGAGCGTGTGCTGCATGAATGCATGCATGCATGATGCATTCATTCATCCTCGTGCTGGTGTATACAGACAGACAGACAGACGCCTTCATTTTGCCAGCTCGAGGGAAATATGCAAAGGTGTGTGTGTGCAATGACTGGAGGGATACAGCTCGGTGTGGGTGGCCTACATACACACACACACGCATGAACACCGTCGGGACTGGCTGGCTGGCTGGTTTCTCTGTGGTGTGGTGATGTGATGCTGCATGCGCGGGATGCATGGCTTGTGACTGCTTGTGACGATTGTCAGAGACTCACGTTAAGAGGACGGGTAATGCTGAAGTTGCCAATAAATATACCGCTCAACTTCTGCATCCATCCAGGTGTGTGTCTATGTGTCAGGCTGTCTGTGTCTGTGAGGCGGTGCCGAGGCACTCTCATCCTGATGGATGGATGGATTCATTCGACACTCACGGTCCTTCACACACGCAACAGCATGCCCAAGTCCCTCCACAGTCATGGCCCACCCACCCACCCGGTCCACACATTCGCTTGGTGGCGTTGCTCTGCTGCATTACTCACGGGCAAAGGCACAGTGGCTGCAACAATCCAACACCCAGAGAGACGGGCAGACTACACCAGGGTCATCGCGACAGAAAGACAGACAGACCGACAGACAGACAGACAGACAGAGTGCGGTAAGTCGCCACACAATCCACATGACCATGACAGCACACACGACGGGCAGTGCAAGTCAGTTTGTGCGGTAGGTATTATTCACATGTGAGAGCTACACAAACAGCAGTAACTAGGAACTAGGAAGGAAGAAGGAGAGGCAGAGAGAGAGAAAGAGACGCAGAGAAAGATATAGATATGCAGAGACAGACAGACAGACAGACAGGCAAGTCCCCGGGCAGCATGACGTATGAGCGAGGGAGAAGGGCATGGGTGCAGCCTGATGCGTACCTCCCTCCCTCCACTCCAGTGTGTGTGTGTGTGTGTGTATGTGTATATGTGTGTGTGGTGTACCTCCCTCCCCCCCGCGGGTCTTTGTTGACTGTCGGGCGGTGACTGACCGGCCGACTCACTGCTGGGGTGCCCGTCTGCCTGTGAATGCATAATGTGTGTACCACCCAGCCAGTAAACACTTCTGCTGATGGACAGCAGTCGCTCCAAACACCCACACGCCAACAACAAACGCCCTGCCTGCCCGTGGTGTCTTTATGTACACTTCACACAAATACGAAATGGATTGATTAACTACGTCTCTCCCTCAACATAAAGAAACACACAACAAAAACTGTCGCGCGACAAATCAAGCTGCCAAAGACACGTGCCTGTCTGCCCTTTCTGTCTCTGAATGTCCATCACGCCCCGTCACTCTCTGCTGGCCGCCCCGTCCGCCGTGCCTTCCGCCTCGCCGCGTGTGTGTCGTTCTCGTCTCTCTTCAAGAGAAACCACGACAGAAACGGCGGGTCCACCACATATCGCAGCCAAAATGCGAAGGGGTAGTCGGTCATCAGCAGGATGGCCACTGCCACACCCAAGAAGAACGATATGGCCACCATGGCCGACACAGAGAGGCCCTCGATCTGGTAGTAGCCGGCCTGCTGGAAGGCGATGATGAACAGGGGGTGGGCGATGTAGGGCAGCATGGTCCTCGGGCCCCACTTGTCGCTCACGTGTGGGATGCGGAACGGCGGCAGGGCGAGCAGGACGGCAATGGACAGGGGAAAGTCGAAGGCGTACCAGAACAGCCGCACCACGAACGCATACCACTGGGGGAAGTTGCACTCACCAATCTCACTCCAATATGGATCCCCAAACCTGAATCAATGGGCAGGATACACTGATCAGCGTGGCCCACCAAACATCTGCACACGGCCTCCCCCAAAGCCCATCCACTCACCATATCGGGCAGTCCCAGTAGCCAGGCGCGTAGAGGCCGTAAAACACCATCGGCACGAGCATCAGCGCGCAGAAGCCGATGGCCATGAAGCCATGCTTAGAGGGCAAGATGCCACTTTCGGTGTAGCACTTCCGTCTGACGTGCGTGAAGAGGGGCTCGCTGTCCTTCATCAGCCAGCCGAATACGAAAAAGGGAAAGTACGCAAGTGACCGCTGCAGCGACAGAAACCGGGTCGCACTGAAGACCAGCACACAGACAACGAGCAAGTGTTGTTTGCAGCTGCTTTCCGCGCTTCTCTGGCTAGTCTCGCCTACTTGGAGTAGCCTGCCAGCAGCCCGATGACGATAGAGGTGATGAGAGGGTACTTGACGACCCTCATGTAATGGGGGCCGACCAACCTCCACGTGATAAGCGACATGAGGAACCACAGGCTGATGAACGGCTGCCACACGTAGTTGCTCTGCACTTGCGGACCGAATGCCGGCAGCTTTTGGTCGGGCTTCTCGTAGAGGAAGTGATACATGAGCGAGTAGATCACTTGAAAGATGACATACGGGACGAAGAGCCCCCGACTGACAGACAGACATGGCCAAGCCAGACAGATGCATGTACCAATGCGGCCGACTGTCTTTCTTTTCGCTTCCATCCTTACAGGAGGCTGTTGGACTGCTTGAACGTGGTGTACTCGTCTTTGGGCGTGCGATTGCTGAAGTAGCCCGACTGAGATATGCAGACGCATACATAAACACGACCACAGTCTGTCTGCATCCCCATTCTGTCTTTCTGATCTCTGTCTTCCTTCCTCCTTACAATCATACAGAAGGAAGGCATGATGTAGCCCGCCGCGTAGACATACAGGATGCGCACCACGACGTTGGGAAACTTCCCGTGCGGCATGTAGATCTGCCACACAACACAGACAGAACACAAGCCACCCAACCGCGGACAGAGTGACGCATTGTGACGCAAGCCACCACCCCGTGTGTTTGCTGTTTATCGTTCTGACCTCGAGGAAATGGCCAACGCAGACATTGATGACGAGATAGATCTTGGCGTTGTCCCAGTACGGATCTCTCGGGGAACGCTGCGGCGAAGAGGTCTTCATGCCTTCACCCGCCCCGCCGGGAGGAGATACCTTCTGCGCCTCCGGCTCTGTTTTGTTGTCTGTGGACGCTGCACTGTTGTCTACCTCCACCCACACCACGTGGCTGTTGCTCTGCTGCTGGTTGGCAGACACCTCTGCTGCGTGTTCCATCGTCCGCTCGTCGTTCCCAATGCTTCTGTCGTTGGTAGTCATCTTCACCAAGCAGGCAAGAGAGAATCACATACCGCCCCAGCCACCGCCCAGATCCAAACTTCAATCTTGTGGCAGCTGTGGCAGCTCGTCTTGTAGGTTTAGGGTTCAAACCCCAAACCCCCACGCCGACAAGAGAGCACTTTCTAAGCTCGCACTGAGATCGGCCAACAGCACCCCTCCTTGCCCTCGAGGGCGGGGGGGAGCTTGCCATCGGCTCCGCCTCGCCCTCCCGGTCCTGTCGACCTGTCATTCGTTCTCATTCGACACCTCTTTCCATGAGC